TGTGGCTCAATAGACTGATTGCCCAATGGAGTTCACATTCGTTTACACCTGGCTTTTTAGGCAGTGCTATGAAAATATATCTACTTACATCTTCTGATATATCGCCACTGTTGTATATTACATTTATATTATTTTGTCAATGCCGAAATCATCTAAATCTGCCAGCATCTCTATTACAATTCTGTCTGGTCCTGTTGCTTTGTTCTGGTTTGATTTTGTCTGTGTTGATTTCACTTCAGATTTTAATATTTCTGGTCCTTTTGATATTTCTGTGTATTGCCAGTTGTCCACTTTTGTCAGGAAGAGTTCACCAATGTATTCGTTCCATCTCTGAAGTATTTTTCTTTCACTATTATTAAACTTTTTTTTTGATGTGAACAGTTTACTCATCAGAGGACGAGAAAAAAAAGAAGTAAATATGTAATATAAATTTTACTTTTAAATTCAACTTTCTGATATCAGCCATGAAATTTCTTTGAATTATAATAGTGAAGATATCATTTCTCTCTCTCTCTCTCTCTCTCTCTCTCTCTCTCTCTCTCTCTCTCATGAAAGTGAAGGTAAGAAGTTACTTTGAATTTTAAAAAAAATATATTGTTTAGAATTTTATTTTCTTTCAAAGTGACTTGGTACCATGGTGTTTTGTTCAAAATTTACATATTGCTCCACCTCTCCTATCTCAACACCCTACCACATAAGATGAGAAAAAAGTGAATAAAAGTATAATAAAAATTTTATTTTTAAATTCAAGTTTCTGATATCATACATGAATTTTTTAAAAGCCTCAGAAAATGAATCATATTTTTTTGTTTACTTAGCAAATATTGGTTACCTACAAGTGTGTATGTGTTTTATTTGATCACAGTAACCTATTTTTAAAAATCATTTCTTAAGGACTTTGTCTTAACCATTTTTTATGTAATCCACATATTTTCAAAATAAGATTGTTGTGACTCTTGTAGTGTTTGTATTCTGGTTATTACTTTTTGCCACCTCACAAGGGTAAATATATCTTGGTCAAATTTAATGTAGGGTGCTACATGCATATGTATAGAGAAAAGTAAAAAGCAGTTGCATCAACCTTTGATGCAGGTATCAAAGTATACCGCCCTGACCCTGTCCTATGAGTGCAAGAGGGAGGTGTTGGTCAAGAGGATGATCCCCAGGGACTGGACAATTTTCATTTGTTCTGTAACATGCCTGAAGAAGACTCAATTGATCTTAGCCAAATATGACTGGGTCAAATGCCAGGCATTTTTAGTACAAACATTTTAAGCATAAAAATAACTAAATTAGATAGCAATCTACAAGTATTCTTAAGGGGTATTATTCACTAGGAATGGCCAGCCAACACTACTTGATTAGAAAGAAATATGGCAAGGGTAATATACTTATATAAAAAGAGAAAATGTTTTTACATACATTGTAAAGAAAATGCTAAAAGTAGCTACATACCAATACCCCCATACTTCTAAGTGCATTTTCATTTACCTTTTTTCTTTTTTTTTTTTTTCTTTTTTGTGTTTTGTTTTTTGTGTTGTTTTTTATAGTGTCTTTCCTTTGTGCATGCTAATGGCTTTACCAATTCTGATATCAAAGCTTTCAATTTTCCCATGTGAAGCTATTTGTACACATTGTCTAAGAGTTATGATGTTATAAGTTATGATAAAAAAAAAAAGAATAAAAAGTCAATCATTTTGATAATTTCAAAATTTATACTGAAACTTGAGTCTCTACAGAAGTTCTTAATGTAAGCTTTGCCTCCAATAAGAGATGATAAATTTAAACCATGTATTTATTGAATTTTAACTTATTTGAAACTCATCATTCTCATGAACATTTGGCTCACATTTATTTTAAATATTTTGTGAGGAATTTCACAAAAGATTTCAAGTATATACATTTTTTTGGAAATGTAGATGTTTTTGTTATGGATTTTTATTGCAGCAATAAATCCAGACATAGCACCAAACTCTGTGTTTGTGAGGACTTGTAAGTTAATAAATATCATCAAGATGTTAACATTTATGCACTCTGCTCTGCAGTGGCTATTATGCAAGATGGTTTTTTTGTAAGTCTTGTTTTCCAGGGAAAAAGTAATTGGAGAAAAGCTTTTATTTTCTAAATAAAATATTTTAAGCCATATGTCTACTTTGTATAATTAAACAAAAAGATAAAGATTCAGTTAATTAAGCTAACCTGATGGACACAAAGTAAGGGTACAATTTAAGCTTTATATTTACATAAAAAAGCAATTGGGGAAAAGTTTTTAAAGTTTTGAAATTTTCAAAAATCAACATGCTAAAAACATGCTCCAGGGTACCATTAGCAAACATAACATTTGGTGGCTGTCTTTGAGTTAAGTGATGACAGTTGGCTGGACAAAAAATCTTTGGTAAATTATTTATATTGATGAAATATTTCATAGTTTTGAGTGTCAGTTAACAATTAATTTGACGCTATTAGCAGTTCTTGATGCATGCAACTGTTTCATTTACTATTACTCTTTGGGTGACAAAGTAGAAAATTTTACTTGTTATGCATTTCATCTTTCAGGACTTGATCAGACTAAATTTTTTATGTCGGTATGACACATGCACACAACAGAGGGGTGCTGGGAATTTTATTTTATTTTATTTTTTTTTTTAATCAAGCTGAATTCATTTAGTCTTTTTTTCTTTCCATCACTTTTGTAAGTAGGTATTCCACATTGCGATATTAGATCTGCTAGGAATGGTGAAATATTGTAAAAGCCAGGGAGCAAATTTAGTGTAGATGACCCTATGATTAAGCCACTCTCTACACATTTACAATATAGTGTATTATTTTCTCCTTTTTTTTTATGTCAAAATTTTGGTCAGTCTCGTTACAGTGGGCAACTAACACATTTGATATATTTTGTAAAATGTCTCTTTTGTGTTCATAAAATCTTTTATTTAGGTTTCCTGTTTTTTTTTTTGTTTTGTTTTTGTGACAATTATTACAGCGATTAAGTAAACCTATTCAGGTTTTAGATTATTGTTTTGTTTAGTATTGACTAAGTCTTTTTATTTTTTTTGGGATGTACTGGTAACAAATTTTATGTTGTGTTTAGATTCTTTTCAATTGTAGATGTTTTAGTTAGTTTGTAGGATAATATATTTTTTTGATTTATTGGGTTTTTCAGGAGGAGCCATTTTTGTGGGGGGGAATATTTTATGAGCCTTTTTGTTTTACATAGAATATAAAATAATTAGGGTACTGGAGAATTTTGAAAGTGTTTTCAATGTATTTCTCTTCTTCGTGTAAATGATCCAAGCTACATATTTTTAGTGCTCTTAAGTAGAATCCGATGATTATGATGGATTTTATTTTGTTGTGATGAGAATAGAAATTTATTAGGTCATTTTTGCTGGTTGATTTCCAATGGACACAGAATTTTAAACTGTTGTTAACAGTGTAGCTTGATATCTAGGAAGCGTAAGGAATTGTGTTCTTCCATTTTGTATGTAAATTTCATTGTGTGTTTGACTGTTAGTTGATCTACTAAGTCAGGTAATCATGAGGATATATAAGTAGAGCATCATCAATATAACTGATGCTGATTGTTTGGGTAAAATATTTTGGAAAGGACCAGATTCAAGAAATTCTAAGACACATGTCATCACTCCACTGCAAGGCAATCCCATTGGTAAAACAAATTGTTTGTAACATTCATTATCAAATGTGAAGTAGCATTGATTGGTGATGAGACAGCAGATTTTTTTTTTTTTTTTTTTTTTTTAGAAGATTTAGGCATTTTTCAACTGGGATGTTGGTGTAGAGGCCATACATTTATTGGTCATCTTCATTTCCCTTAGTTTTTCAACTAGGCTGCCTGAGTTCTTTATATGAGATGGACTGATTGTCCCAAGGAGAGGAGTTAGAATTTTTATTTTTGCTTTCACCAGTTTATGAAGGATTCTGTCTATTCCTGGGATAATGGGGCGCATTGGGATACCAGTTTTGTGGGTTTTAGGGAGACCATAAAGTTTGGGTGTTCTTGGGTGATATTCTATGAGTTTATACCACAGTTTGTTTTCATTTTTAATTAGTTTCTTGATTTCCTTGTTAAATTTTTGTGTTTCAGTAGTTACTTTTTGTTCATTTATTTTTACATATGTGTCAGTATCATTGAGTAGTGTATGTATTCTTGTTCATGATCACAATCACCCCCCTCCCTTGTCAGAGGGAGTGATGAGGATTTCTTTATTTCTCACTAGGTTCTTTAGTGCATTTAAGTGTCTCCGTGATAATGTATTTTTGTTGTTGGTTTTGTTGTAGCAGTGATTATGCCGTGAATGAAACCTTTAATAAATTCGGTATCATTCTGCTTATGATTTTTTTTACAATAGTGTCTACTATGTTTTTGTGGATTCCGGTGGCAAATTTTAAACTGAAGCTGAGGGCTTCTCATTCTGTATTGGAAAGCTTTATATCCGATTACATTAGGCTTTCCAACATATTGCTGTTGCTGCATAGGTTGTTGAATTTTTGTATCTTTATTACTCTTTATTGTAATAATTACCTAAAGACAGCTACCCCACTATAAAGACGTCTTTTCAATATGATTAATACTTTTACTAATAGAAAAATTATGACAGCTCATAAAATATTGTTGTTTTTATTACCAAACCATTCCATCATTGTTAGTTGCAGGTTTCTTTGACTTTGCTATTTTTTCTTTGCTGTTAAAATTTTTTGTCAATCCAACATTTATACAAAAAAATATAATTGATTAATTTGAATCCTTTTTTTTTTTTTTTTTTGTAAGGTAATTAGTATTAATCATTAATATTTGCTATTGTGTGATCATGATGGATGTGTTTCCTTTGTGCCTTGTAACAGTAGAGATGGTTGAAAGGTTGATGATTCATATGAGAAAATGCGAGCTATTCTTTTTAACACAATGCCAAAAGTTATTCCTGCCGATAGTGACACATGCCTAATTTCTATTTTATTTTTTTTTCTTGTTTTTATAGGCTGAAGATAATCCAGAACCAATTTTTGATATTTCTAACAGCGAGTGCAGTGAGGTAAGTTATTTAGCACAAAATAATTATTGAATAATTGAAATTACAATCCCTCAATAATGAAATTTATACCTCCTTAATAAAATATTAATTCTTGTTCATTTAATGTTTTTGACTATAGTAAAAATTACAGTATTAAATTATCATACCCAATTGAAAAGTATGGCAAAGAGAGTCACAAATTAAATACTGTAAAAGATATTTGGGAAGTTTGTGTGTAGGGGAAGGGGCACAATTTTGAAGTCATAATAAGAAACCCCAAAAACATTTTCACCATATTACATGTTACTCAAAATTCACCTGGCCAGTAGAAACTACCACATTATTGTTGTACATGGCATTATTTACTGATAGTAATATGATATCTACATTGGATTTTAAAACAATTACCTCTTCTATATCTTTGGCTTATGGCTACATCACATTAAAACACAGGTTTCCATATAATCATCGAAGTTAAGCAACATCAAGCTTGGTCAATACCTAAATTGGTGACTGCTTGGGAATACCAGGTTCTGTAAGCTTGGGTATGCATGTTGTGTAATGGATAATGGCTTGGAATTGTTAATCAGAGAGTTGAATTTCAATTCCCTTTAAGTTTGTTATATTCACTTACATGCAAATACTCTTGGGAAAGATAGGAATCCACCTCCTATCCCTGCAGCTGTGGGTTAGTAACACTTGTATCACTAAACCATTATTATCTCAAAAAAAAATTCTTGCAATCTAAAAATATTTTATGGCTTTAAATAACCTGCAAATGGTTGATAAGCTATAGAAAATGAATCTGTCAAAAAATCTTTTATATCTTCCTAAATTTAAAAATAAAATTTATATTAACTACTCTTGTTACACAGAACACTATTTACCCACTTAAAAGTATATTGTAGATAATTTTTTTAACAATTCTATTCATTCAGATCACATTACTTAGAAAGGAAAACGTTCTCTTAATATTAACAATGCTAAGTATTGTTGCTTTAGTAAAATCTTCTATGTTGGGGATCATGGCTCTTTACAATTTACTGTTCTTCATAGCTCTTAGTAAATTTTTTCTTTTTAGTATCTCTCCTAAACCTTGTTCTCTCATCCATTTATACAAGCTCATTAGGTAGGTTATGCAGTTTTCTCTATTTCACTTGCCTTCAATATGTCCTGTGAGTGTCAAATTTTACAAACCCTCTTTCCTCATTATGTGTCCTAGAAATTTCAACTGTCTCTTTCGGATGTTAAGTGTCATTTCTGTTTCCATTTTATGATGTTAAATTTATTTCCTGGCAAAAAAAAAAAAAAGGATTTTAATATTGAATTATTTTCATCTTTCTCAACTGTGAAATATTTTGATTGCTTTTGTTTGTTATATTTCTTAGTTCTGAGGACAACTTTGTAACTAGATATTTTTTTACTATAAGTTATTCCTGTATTAATGATATAAGAATTCTCAAAGCCCTAAAGCTTTTCTTTAGCTGTTTGAGATCGTCCCTCATGAATATACCAGTACAAGTGCTAAATTCTGATTTGGTGAATAAACTATACAACAAAAGTTAAAATTTCATCATAATGATTGCTGTTGTTGCTGTAATATTATATATGTTGGAAACATGATACATTATTGTTCAAAATTAATGAAATAGTATTTCAAATTTGATAGCCAGTCACAAGAGTTCTTTGAAAGCATGAGCACTCAAGATTTTCATTGACATAAGCACAAAAATATTGTGTTTTTCAATTTCCAATCAAATATAGTTAAACTCTGGATAAAATATGTATACTTTCTTATTCTTCTCAATACTCTATCTTTTTAAAGATTTGAATCGAATATTAAATCTCTTAATTTTGCACTGTCTGCTGTTTCCCAGATAAAACCCCTGCTATTCATCTCAAGGTTCTAGACAAAATCCAAAGAAGGATCTGTAATGTAATCAATCCTGACCTGGCATCTTGACTTCAGTCACTTTCTCACCAACGTGTCATGGCTTCCCTCTGTCTTTTCTACAAATATTTTCATGGTAACTGCTCTGACAAGCTTTTTTCCTGGTGCCCCAACTACATAAAGTTAAACATGTTATTAGATTGGCATCTAAGTCCTGTCCATTTACTGTTGAAATAGCTAAATGCAACCACAGCTTCTAATCCAACAGTTTCTTTTCTCACACTTCCCATATGTGGAACTGACTTCCCTGATAACTACAATCTTCTAAAATTTAAATGCAACATCAATTGCCATCTATCTTCTTGAATCCTGTTCATCTTTTGTTCTTTCCTCAATCCTCCCTATACTCTTTTCTCTCAATTTCACTCTCTCTAACCTTCTGGATACTAGTGGCATTCCCATCTTGCTTGGGTTGAAATGATTAAAATATATTTTAAGATAGTAGAAATCTATATTTATATTTTTGCTTAGTTATATTCAGATGTAAAAGAGAAAACTTTACTTTTCATTTGATATTGATTGCTATTTTATAAAATTATATTAAATTTTATTCACCTAGATTGAAGAACTTGATTTGAATTGGTGAAATTGAATGCACAAATTTTGAATATTATCTAACCAAATGCCATAAGATAATAAGAAAATTGGCTGGTATTGATATTTTGAAAATTGCTCAACAGGACCATGCTTTTGATGTTATATTATTATACAGTTATACAACAGTTTATATGTGTACCTCCCAAAATCTGGATGACCAGATTTGCCTCCTGTCTGATTTACTATTTTTCTGTAGAACCACCTCACTTTTGCCACAAGTTTACTCTTCATCTGTAAGGAAATTGTCTATGAGAATTAATATTACATAGTAGTTCAGTATTGTTTCTAACAAAATTTTCCAGTTTTTTAATACTTTGTTTAGCTTTTGGAAGGCACCTTTTACTGATCAGTGTGCTCTGATTTCACTGTCAAATTTTCTGTCCTCTATTAAAACACTTCCCAGATATTTAAATTTTTGTACTTGCTTGTTTCTGACATCTCCAATTCATAGCTCACATCTTGGGTTGTTCCTCTTGCTGACAACAATGCATTCTTGCAATTGATGGTTAGTCTTTTCTCCCTGCTTTCTTTTACTGCCTTATTTAGGAGTTCTTGCAGTTTTTTTCTATATCTGCCATCAACACAGTATGATCTGCATATCTTATGTTGTTAAAATTATGCCCACCAATTATAAATCCCAGTAGGATTTCTAGTTCTCTTAGGATTGGTTCACTGTAAAGGTTAAATAAATTTAGTGAGAAAATGCATCCTTGTCTCATGCCCTTTTTTTATTTTTGCATACTTATGAAATTCATAGAACTTGGTTAAATGTGTTCTAATTATTAATATTCTTTTTTTTTAATGGGTAATCTAAAAACATTAGTGTTCTATAATTTCTGATTGTATTAACTCCAAATCTTCATCTTGCTATGCAGTCATAGTACAATATTTAAAAATATTGGAAAATGAGTATTTTTAGTTTTTCATTTTATATTCACTCTTGAACATTGATATTACATGGTTAGTAATATTGTACAACCACAGCCCACTAATATTTACAGCCCCACATGTCAAATTTCAGGCTACTTTCTAACAGGCCTATTTGGTTTATAGTCAATTTATGTCTTTTTTATCTACTACATGTTGAAACTGTAGTGAAAGAGATAATCATCTATCTTGAAAAAGAGTTTGTACTTTGTGTGCGATCTGCCGAAGAAAAATTACCAAAAGTAGTTAGCAAAAATCTGCTACTTTAAGTATCAGAATCTATGCTAATATTCTTTCCACCCCTGAATGGTGTGGCCAATCAGAAAAATTGCTCGGTGAATAAAAGCCATTGTTTTTCGCTTATGGGGGAGATTTTTCTGAGCTTGGCGGAAAAACATGCGTTTTTGCTGGTGAGAAGTGAAGGTTTGATTTGTGACCCCATTTTGTCGTTTCTACATTGCCTGTTGGACCAGAATCGAAGATACAAGACTCAACCAGTTGTTGACCAGAGCCTGCACTATCATGATCAACAAGAAAGAGGCTGATGAACCAGTAGCCACAGTCATTCAACCAGTCAAAGAGGATCCGACTCTGGCTATCTGATGCTGTGGCGATGTCACCTGCTATCGGTGCTCTGGACCAAATCATTTTGCCAAAGACTGCCATTATCAATGCAAAGAAATGCGTGGCAGTCGGTGCAGAAGGCACATCCCAATCTACGATGTTTTCAATGTCATAGAGTAGATCACATTGACTCTAAGTGTTTGGGAAATAGAATGGGGATGCGACATCAGCACTGGTCTCTTCCCTGCACTGAGCATGAAAGAGGCGCTCTCTGTAATTAAGGTATGCATCAATGGAATAACGCATACCGCTTTAGTAGATTCGGGCTGCTCTCGGTCGCTCATGAACAGATCGATTTGTCGACAGCAGAGCAAACGGCCGATGGAAAAGCTCTCAGGAGCCGAGGAGTTGGAAACATCAAACTCAGTATCAGCAATGATGATCCCGTTACAGTTAGTGTATTCGTCATGGATAGTGCGTTATTAGGTTTGACCTGCTCCTTGGGATGGACATTATTAGGGAGCTAGGCAGAGTACACATCAAAGAGGCGGGCAAAGTCAAGTTTTCTAGTCCACCCATCTGTGCTGACTTTAGCGCAGAGTTCAACCAAAGGATGAAGACATGGACAGCACTATGGAAATAGTCAGAAAATAACCCACCAGAGAAGCTCCAGAACCAAGTGTCAGAGTACTTGGTGCCTGAACACATCAAGGAAGAATACCAGCGTGAATTGTAGGTGTGGCTGGACAATGGATGGCTGACTCTGTATCCTGAGGAAGAGCTTGGCCCCACCCAAGACGCCTCATCCTGTTGATGGCCATGGTACAAAACAAGAGAAATGTGCGTCCCGTACTAGATTATAGAGAACTGAACAAACATGTAGATGCATACACAGCTCATGCTGATATGTGTGTGTGTGTGTGTACAAAAATTGAGAGAATGGCAATTTGGCTACAAGTGTTGCAGATGAGAGACAGAAGAAACCTATTGCAGGCATTTATTGCTACTACAAATTTACAATTTTTTTTTCTTTTCTTTACTACAACAGAAACCATCCCAAAATACACAAACAGATTGGGGTTTTTTATCCTTTTAAACAGAAAAGTAATAATAAAAGAAAAACAAACAAAAAAGTTATTAAAGAATTAAGCAGTAATACAAAACAAATACAAGTAAAAAAACTTACCAGCAGTTTTTCTATAAAGCAATTTTCTTTTGACTTTTTTTTTTTTTTTTTTTTTTTTTTTTTTAAACATTCTACAATATTTTTTTGAACTTCACCTGATGAAAACTTGAAACAATTTTTGCTGCAAAGTGAATTCCATTTTCAGTGTGTTGTTCACAAGTAAAAACATATTTTGGAGAATAAGTTTCCAAAATTCTTTCAGCAGACTCTCTTGTAGTGGATCCATTATGCTTAACAATAAATTTATTTGCATAGTCAAGAATAGTAAAACAAGCACAAACGAACTCTGCCATTTGTCTAAATGGAACCATAAGACATCCTCAAGATAATAAGTCAAAGTACTGCTTCTCTGTAGCATCATCACTATCATTGCCTACCATGACCAGGAAACACATTTCACATTGAAAATGTTTAATTAATTTTTTTGAATTTTCTCCAATAAAAAAAAAAAAATGATTATGGAAGTTTCTCCAGAAGTAGTTTGTAGGCTTGTTGAGAAGTATAGTGTGGTAGTAAGGCATAACGTATTAATTCTGCAGAAAATGAACGACAACCTCTTGGTTGGTAATGTTGTCTTTTTGGTAATTCTTTTAGAATTGAGTATGATTGTTCTTCCACCATGTTTTGTATGGAGTTTGGAAAATTTTCCAACATGCTAAATCTTCTGAGTTTAGCATTGTCAATGTATAAACCATTGTGATAATAGTAGAGAGGTTCCATTGCACTGGAACTGAACATAAAGGTTTTGGTCAATGCAAATATATTCTTTTATAGATGGAAAATGTGTTTCAGGGTCAAAGACTATTCTATAAATTAAAATATAATCTTCCTTTTTTTTAAAATTCAAAACTATTAGAACAACACTTAGCTTCTTCCAGTTAATTAAAATCCTTTATTGTATCAGCTGAAATAAAATCCTGTAATTCTTCAGTTTCGACTAGACATTGTTTTGGAGGCTTTCTGAATTCCCTTGTATTTGGCAAAAGAGATGGTTTTCTTATCTTTTTCTGAATGTATTGTAGGTATTGGATGTCAATCCCAATTCAGTTTGTTTTGTTTTCTTTTCAAAATAAATTTCTCTTTATAATGTTTCATACAGGGAATTGAATTCTTCATAGGAAACCAATCGATACCATTAACAGATTTTATCCATTTTTCTACAAGAAGAAAAGAAAATGTCAATACTTTTTTCACTGTTAGTGACATATCCACTAGAATAGCCAAATGCAGCACATTTGTTAACCATTTTTTTAAACAAAATATCACAACAAACTTTATAATTCAATCTTTAAATACAATGTTCTATGAGGTAGAAAAATTTACCTAAAGTGTTCATTTGCTAAAATGGGTCATATATGCAATTGAAAATCATAAAAGCAAGTAACTCACAGCCATTTATAATTTGTGGATTAGTAAAAGGAAAAGGTGTAACTATTCATTTTTGCATTGAAAACATGTCTATGGAATTGAAATAACGTCTGATAGATTCTACATAATTGTTAATTTATGTTCTAGAATTCAATTCTACATAATTGTTAATTTATGTTCTAGAATTCAATTTTTAAAGTTACCTCCCTTCTAGATTAGCAATTTTCTAAGGGGCCATTCACGTTTTTTTTTGTTTACATTACATTGGCCTGTTAGAATTCAGCATGTTATAATATATTTGGGCCATATAATGCTAGTTGACCATGGTACAACTTATAAATACAAATTTAGTAAAAACTTTTGCCTTATCTTATTTCAGATTCCTTCCAATGTGTATTCCTTATGTAAAGTTCTGAACAAAGAAGTAAGTATATTCTTTTATTATTAACAATAATAGAAAATACATTCCTGCAGTTAAGTGTCTAAATCATTGGCTCAAACTTAACAGATCCAATTAAGAAAGAAAAAATAAAGACTATTATACTAGGATTGCTTTATTGACTGAATTGTAGTATGTAAACTTTTGTTTGTGTTCTAATATCATGATCTTTGTTGTTTGTACACTGCATTTCATCATGCAACCATATAGTTTAAAAGTTGAAAATAACTTCCTCAAGATCTGCTTTTTAATTTGAAATTTAGAAAATATTTTTGTCAATATCATATATGCATTCTTAATTTTCTCATTTACTAAAAATATTAATCATTAGTTTCTGTTAAAATATTTTCTTTAATAAGAAATTTAATTTCTATTAAATTTATTAAAGCTTTATAACTTCAGGTATTTCATTTTGCTTTGTACATGATTTTTTAATTATTTTAAAACTTATTTTTTTTTTCAGAATTTGATATATGTATTATTAATAACAATTCTGATTTACTTTGCTTAATGGTAATTTCTTTTCCTTTACTACCAGAAATAATTACTGTAATTTTTCCCATATATTAGTTTATAACATGTGCCTATAATTTGACAAAGAATATTTAGGAAAAACTAATATAATATTCAACTTATGATTAATCCATATTGACAAGAGAAAGCAAAAGATGTGCACTACTTAAAAAAAAATAACAAAATAGTATTCATGGTCATTCAGTACAGTGGTGCAAGTTATCAACAATGATACATTGATATATCCATGATATAATAAATCTGTATTTCACAGATAGAAGGAATGGCTGAAAAGAAATGACAAACCGTTTTTTTTTCCTCGGAGAGACTTTTATACCACTAAGACATAACACAAAGCTATTATACGAGGATTGCTTTATTTACATGTGTCCCATGCAAAGAATAATATATCTTATATCTACATGGTCAAAAAGAGTGAAAAGAGAACAAATAGGTTCTTACATTTAATATGGAGATTCTTCTGTGTTTCTGGAGAAGCCATTTTTAGAACTCCAGCTTCAAACAGACCAGATTCATCTACTATATCCCAAGTGAGGACATATTCCACAGACTGTAAACTGTCTGGTGTTTTCCCAAATTGAGGACTGCTAGCCAGAGATTTCTATATCTGGGGAAGATATATTCCTAAAGGGAAATGTCACCATGGACTTGTAAGTTGCTACACAGGGCAGCTGGCTGGCCCAAGCTGAAGCCTGTGTAGGACAAACAACATATGTGTCTTGACTCCAATAAGCTTACTGACTGAATGAATGACTGACCACTTTTGCCACTGTATGAAGCGACAACACTAAGCAGCTGTCATGACCCGACTAATCTCAACCAAAGGGAGATAACCGCCTTTTGTATCCCTACCTCATTCCCTTCCTAAATAGGTTGAGAACCTGCCATGAACAATCACTTTTGTTCTGCTTGTTGTAGATATAATAGAAATGTGGAAACCTACTTTATCAAACTATAGTGTAAAAAAGAATATGCATGCAACTATTAAAAATATTAAAAACTACTTGAACAATGGTTCCCAACGGATTTTGGGCCATGCCCCACTTTGGCATTTCTAAAATTCTGGTGCCCCTCCCCCCTGTAATATTTAAGTCTTACATGTATGCCAAGTACACATGCATGTACATACACACAAAATATTTTTATGTATGCATACTGTATATGCATCGTATGTATTAACATGCATTAACATTAACACTCTCACTCAGACTCACTAGAAACCAATGCACTGTTAATAACTCATTCTCGAATTACCCCCTTATTCTGTTGGTATAGTAAGCCAAAGGGTGCACATCCTATGCATACCCCACCAAAATATTACCATGCACTCCATGTCGGGAATCATTGTACTAGAAGGTTTAAACAATATCCATTCAATAGCACAAAAAGTTCTTCCTATGTTAGTCCCTTATGAAATCAAAATCAATTACATTTTCAAGTTCAAGTTTCCAAAGTTTATGCAATTTCTGTTTTTCATTCTTTTAACATGAAATATTTGCACATGTATTGTAATCTGTGAAGAAATTTACCAGAGTCAAGGAGGCAGGTGGTCAAATAGCTCATAAATTTTGCATGCTCCATTTTTATAAGTATGCAGTGATATTTATATCTCCTCTCATACTGTGTCAATGCAATTGTGATAACTTGTATCACAGTCTTGAATGATCTGCTATTACTCCTGAAAGTATATTATTAACACTTACAGTTTCTTAGTAAAAATTAAACAAATGTTTTAGATAACTATTTCATTTCTTTTCCTTGCTATTGTATATTAGTTTGTTTTTTGGGTTTTTTAAATCAGTGTATAATAATCATAATTCCTCATATAAATTCAAACAGCTTTTACATTTGTTACTTTTTTTTTTATTTCCATCTTAATAGATTCTTTTGGTTCACACTAACTGGCTTACTTCTCTGAAGGCCTCAGATTGTAACACTGGTGATTTAGCAACTATCAGAGTAAGTAGCACCTTTTAATACTATAATATTTATGTTAAATGAATATACTCGTAGAATTTTGAAACTTTTATTTTTGTTGTCTTCAGCCTGTTGGTTTTAAATGGATAAAATGAAGACAGATGATAATATGCAATGAGTACAATTTATTTCTTCTGTAAACAAATTTGTGTTAATGAAATGCTCTAATAATCATGGCCCTATTGACTCCATGAATGCATTTCAGTGTCTCTTATACAACAGCTCACTAAGGAAAGTAATAATGACTAGTATTTAAGCAGTAACCATTAATTTCACCTTTACAATATTTTAATTCAATTGATAAACTTGATTCAGCATTTTTTGTTGTTTTTTATTTTTATTTTGTTATTTTAAAAAATTTCAAATGTGAATACAAAATCACTATTAAAAATTGATTTTTTTCTTTTAGCTTTCATATCTTTTTTGTCTTTATCAGAGAGTTTGTTACTCTGCTCTCTGACTTTCTACAAGTTTCTGGCATTTGCTAACCATCCAAGAATGTCAAAATCATTGAAAAATGATAGTTGAAAGAATACAAAAATTCCTAATTTCCATGAATATCTTTAAAATACTAACACATGGATTCTATATTCATGTATAGAAATATTTGTGAGATCCTTAAAGGTCTTTTAAACATACAAACACAAATACAGAAAAAAAAACTGCAACTACAATTAGAAAAGAAAGAAGAAAATTGTAGAAGGAATGACAGCTATTAAAATATCTTTACATTCTTTGATTTGTTTTTTATATTGGCGAATCTTCTCAATCAGTTTTTAAGGTTTTCTTGAGTAAATTTGAATTTTTTGAAATTCATAAGTAATAGGTATTTTCTGTTCAGTGGTAATAAAGGTAAATAGATTCCAATTTTATGTATGTGTATATTTTTGGGTGATGCTGTCATTTTTGTGACTGAATAAATTCAAAGAAAACTTTTTTAATGATGTATCTCAAGCACAATACAAAGCAACAAGCAATGAAGATCCTGTATGTAAACAATACAAAAACTTTCTTGTCATTGTTATGTTGCAACAGTAATCTCCTTATTTTGTCAAAATGAAAAGAGGAACCTGTTGTCAATGCTACTACCTTATTTATACTTTCTATCAACCAATGTATTTCAAATCATTTATAAAGGAATTGTGAAAGAAATTGTTTTTGGTTCGTTTTTACCTTTATTCATGTTTTTTCTTTTCTTTTTCTTTTTTTTTAATGGTCTTCCTATTTCTAAGAAAAAGTCATAATTTCAGCAATGTTCCTATGCAAATGTTTTGTAGAAAAATATCAAAAATTATATGAAGATTTTTTTTTTAATATTTTCATAATGTTCATGAAAATGTTATGCATTACAGAAAGCAAATTCATGACAGGCTCAGTCCTTTCCTATAATAGAAGAGAAATTTATTGAAATTGTAGGGAAGAAGTTAAGATAATATGACTATGGTATTCTAAGTTGTATTATATAGTTACATCAATAAGTTTGTAAATCTTCATTTGAAATGTCAAGCCAATGATAAAAAAGCATTTATTTTATGCAAAAAGTATCTTTCAATATAATCTTCTTTGTCAAAGTACTTACCTTAGTGATGAATATTATTAATATAATATTAAGATTCAAATAGTGAACATTTCAGAACAAAACTTAACTCATAACCAAAACTCAGGCTGCAGACTTCTTGATATACTCTCATAAACATTAGCTGATAAACTAGATGTCTTGTTAATTTTCATAGTAATTTTTCAATTCCAAAAATTTTTTTAACTTTAAGCAAAATTTTTTTTTTTTTTTTTTTTTTTTTTTTTTAAATTATTTGCTGATTTTCATCTCAATCTGATTTTTCTACTGGCTCATGTTGCTAATATTAAATTGCACTTGTTTACTAATATGGCTAACTTTTCTTTGATAACAAGTTGTTACCATCTTTTGACTTAATCATTTTCCACTGGACATTTTCTAGGGGGCTGTTTGGTAAATATCTATTTGGAAACATATTTGAAAATTAGACAAGTACACAAGAAGTATTTGTTTACTGTGGGTCAATCACTTTCACTGAGAAAGTTAGTGATGATAAAGTTTACCTTGAATTGATGCTTAAAAATAGAGCATTTTTTTTTTTCTTGCATGTTTAATGCTATCAAATGATGAAGAAATATTAATCATATTAACTGTACTGACAAAATTCAAATTGACAGTGAGGTGACTCATTTACATAGGAAGTCACAAAGACTATAAATATTTACAGCTATTACCTATGAGACAGTTGAGTGCATACTACTTCACATGAGTCAGTAACACTACACTACAATGGCATCGCTGATATCTAAAGAACTGAATGAACAATTATGACTGGATGATTATGAGTACACACAAGCGTGGCTTAGGATACTAGCAGCTTGTTATATCTCGTGCAAGATATAATAAACAAAGTAAACCCAAGTGTTGGTTTTCAATAATAATTTTATAATCGGATGTAGGTATGTCAAAATACAGAGACAGTCAGAAGTATGCTAACCTCAATAGGTGTTAACAAACGAAGACCTTTTTTCTTACTGTCCGCAGTGGTCATACTTTATCGGCAACCAGTCCGTCCATTATCGTGAATGGGGAAGTTGGGTTATCTCATCACAACACCTCCCCCCGAAGCTGAAATTCTCCCTTTTGAAAATTTCTGCTTCTAATGTTGTCTTCTTTTTGGATCCGGACTAAAACACTCCACTGGTTTTCTTTCCCGTGTGCTCCTTCTTTTATTCGTCACAATTAGATCCTTTTTTGGCGAAGATAATTTCCGCTTTTCAGCCCGTAAGGCTGGTCCATGCGATACAGGTTCAAATACACTATTGGGTAGTGTCATGTTAAAAGCATCGCATAACACTTCCATCGAAGACCTTTCTTCTTACTGTCCGCTGTGGTCGTACTTTATCGGCAACCAGTCCGTCCATTATCGTGAATGGGGAAGTTGGGTTATCTCATCACAACACAGCTAAAGCTAGAACAAAAAAGCTAAAGGTCAATTGGGGGAGAAAACTAAATAATTAATCTCTTCTTGACAATTTCTGGTTGTGAGGCTACTATAAAAGTATCAACAGTTGCACACCCATGACAGTTGGAGGAAATGACATTAACTATGTTGTAAGTCAACTAATAGTGAAAAACATAGTACCCAAGAAAAACTAGTGAATGCAGAGAGAGCTAGGTTTATGAATATTTCTCAAAAAGTTAAAGAACCAGTTATCAAATATGTTCTTTTTCTAAAACAAGTCACTAAATATTGTGAAGTTGAGAAACTGGGATTGGAAAACCAGTCATTTGAAGAGGATTTGATCCAAATGAAATTAATAAAAAGCCTTCAAAATGAGAAGTATCTTATCACTAGAACAGTGTGCCAAATTTGTTCAGCAACGAGAATTAATTTGAAATTTTAATAGTATGAAAGTTATGGATCTGGTAGGCGAAATGAACATATATGGGAGAAAGAAAAAAGATAAAATAAGGTGTAATTTTTGTGGATATCAACATCAAAGAGAAAAATAAAAATGATATATAAAAATATGTGAAAAGTGTTTAAAAAATGAATCATTTTAAATGTATGTATAAATCTCTCCCCCCCCCCAAAAAAAAATGCAGAGATGGTCCAACAAAATGAAGATGAAATAAGTATGGACATCTTTTCATTGAAAAGAAAAAAATGTAAGTGTCACATTAAGGCAAGATGAATAAGACACTAAAATCCAGAGTAATATAGACTCTGAAGATGAACAATTGTTGGAGGAACACTCCTATGAAAAAAGAAAAATATCACCTCCCATATCTGGACAATAGTGAGGAGCCAAAAGCTCTCAGAAGTACCAGGGAAAATAAGAGGATAAAACCTCTTCAGTACAGGAAGATAATTCATTTATATAGAAAGTTACAAAGACTATAAATAGCTATGGCTATTACCCATGAGGCAGTTGAGGGCATATTACTTCCTGTGAATCAGTAACACTACACTACACTACACTACAGACAGTCTTTTCAAAAGTGTAATACTTGTTTTTTGGGGTTTTTTTTCCCCTTTCATCTATGATGGTAGGTAATTGACATGATGCATAGCAATTGACTAAGACTAGATTAGGAGAGACTTCTATTACCCAGTGTTTGCATTTATGCAAGTCAGCATGGAATTATCACTGATTATTTTTATACTTAGTATTTGTATTGAATATTACATGATTAAACATATATAACTTACATTTTGAAATTACATTTTTTATTTAGTTTTAAACTAATTGATTTGTTCTTATAATTTATAAATGCATGATTGACAGTATATCTTTTATTCTTCTTGAAAAGTATATCTAGCCTTTTCTGATAGGTTATGATTAACAAACCTTGCCACTAAAAGTAATAATTGAACCATAAACTTCATGATGCCAGATTCACTATGTTAACTATAGAGCTATCCTCCTAGGCAATTTTTTTCTATCTTCAAACCTATTTTTCTATATTATTTTGAATTCTCTTTTCATTTTGAACTTTTTTCTTTCAGGTATTAGATGCTCATAATAATTCCATAAAAAGTCTTCCTGAAGACATAAATAAAATTCATTGTCTGCAGGTAAGTAGTAGAACTCTTAAAAGATGTTACTCTTCCACCCCACCACGACTACATGAAAAGTCATAGGAAAATTTATATAAACAAATCTGACAGACCAGTATTCAGAAAGGAAGTACCAAAATTCCTTTATTAAGAACCAATAAGTTTCATGTAATTTTTTTTTTTTTTTTTTGAGCATTTCCTCTTCTGAGTTTGTGTTTTAGTTGTTATTTATTTCTCGTACTAAATTTCTAACAAAAACATTGACATGTAGAATCTTTAATACCAATCAGCATTACAATAACAAAGAAAGTGCTCTTTATTTTCTTTTTTATTCATACTTCTAAATTATAACTTAAACTTTTGAAAAAATACAAAAAAATCTGTTCAAATTTTGTAAAACATGGATAGTCATCAATGGAAATAAAACTGCAGCTTGCAAACTAATTTGTTCTTGTCTCAATGGTAAGTCTGATTGGTGTGATAAGATCAAATTGGCAGTTGGTCTAAAAATGGCCTACAATCTACTGTTAATTGGAGCAAAAAATGACTTGTTAATTTTAACACCTCCAAAATGAAACTTCTCTCTATTAATCATCTAAAAGAATTACCTTTACAGTTAATACATAATGATAATATTATTTTGGATTTTTTTGTTATATGAAACAATAATGTCTGCTATGGCATCAAGCAATTGAAAGGAATGAAGAGTAAATTTAGGTTTGATCTTCTGCAACTGTTAGCCTCTTGTTGTTCAAAGTGTAGAGTGGATGTTGTATATAGGCTTTCCAGTGTAAATGGGATGCAAGTTGGAATCTCACTGATAGCATATTTTTTCATTTCAAATTCATACTGTTTTCTGATAGCTATAAACTGATGGACTAAACAATTATGTTGAAAAGCAAGTAAAATTAAGATGAAAGAAATACTCATAAAAAATTAATAATGGTTGACAAATCTTCATCTAATAAAGATTAAAGATAATATTACAACTACTAGTGCATATAAAAACAATGACATCAACTATGGTTGTGATCAATTGGTGAAAAATGGAGGGAAAATATATTAAGCTAGATTAGATCTTCTTCCACCCATAAAGTTTCTGTAGTTCAAGCAGTAAAGCAGCTGTTATGGAAAGACAGGTTTCTTGTTTTTTGGGGTTTTTTTTTTTAGGCAAAATAGATGAACACTCTCACTGACAGTTTATTCTTTATTACTGATCCACTGTTTACTGATGGTTGTAGATTAATGGTCTGAGAATGTTGCACTGAAAAATAACTAAAGCAGAGATGAAAGAAATACTAATCAGAAATTAATATTGATTAAAGCATAATATTAGAAATAAATTAAAAACGTTAGCTATAAATAAGATGCTATAGAAAAGAAACCCTCAAAGTCAAGAAAGCTATTCACCTATTATAAGTTTGTAGTTGATAGTTTTGCCATGCTAAACTGATTTTTAAACAAATCTTTAATTGATAGTTATGTAGACCAACAAAAATTTTCCAAAGCATTAGGTTTGGGACATTTTGACACACTGAAGTGGGGAAAAATAAGTTTTCACAATTATATACAATGTTATTCATGAAAAAGTAGAACAGTTCCATTTTGTTACTTTCATTTCCTGGCAGATATTTATCCATTTTTTTTTATTTATTTATTTTTTTATATATACTAATGTTCACCCAATAGAAGGCCCGAGAGCAACTCAAAGTAGAGGGTTACTGTGTGGAGTTAAGAAATAGCAAGAAATGAAGTTCTTGGGGCTATGCAGAAAAAATAACAGCTAATTCTAGTCATGCAGAGGTCAAGATTTAATTAGTGAATAACATTTCTGAGTTCACTCAGAGACATTAGATGTATAGAGTTGAAGTAGAAGATTAAGAAAATGGAGTTTACATTGTCTGATTTTCTACAGTCAATTAAGAATCCATTTGTAAAGTGTTTGTTTGGCAGTCTTCACCAACAACAAAATTGATTATTCTTTCAATAACAACTAATTTTGAAACATTAGGGTTCTATTTTATTATTGTTTGGACAAGTGGATGCATTATATACATCAAAAGTATTTGTTTGGTATAATGTATGTAACGAATGTTGGCCAGAAGACAGAACTATTTTTTGAGTGAAATGATCATTAGTAAATGGATGGAAAAGATCCTATTTTCTTTTTTATCAAGTTTCTTGGTTTCATGCCCTTTTTGTTTTGATTTGTTTGAATTTGTGTTTTCGTTCTGTTTCCATTTTCTCTCTTTTGAATGATTTCTGGCAGGTTTTAAATCTAGAAGAAAATAAACTGAAAAAGATTCCAGAATCCATAGGAAAACTTAAATATCTCCAGTCATTAAATTTGAGAGGTAAGATTTTATCATCAGTTCTCATTTTATTATAAAATCTAAGACATTATATTCATTTTTTTTTTTTTTTTAATCTTGTCTCAAAATGAATTAATGCAAATATCTAGTATGTACACTCTTACAACCCTTGGCAAAAATTATGGAATCATTACATGTCAAGGACATTCACTCTTTTTTTTAATTTTTTTTTTATTTTACAACAAGTAAACAAATCACAGATATGACACTAAATTATTTTTTAACAGTTGAGCATTCTAGTTTCTTGAAACAAATGCAATTATTTTAATAATCGGAAAATTTATTTTCCACATCAAATAGAAGAAAACGTTATGAAATTACTCATTGTTGAGAAAAATATATTTTTACTGTTTTACATATTTCATGATCTATAATAATACAGTTATATTTAGTTGTACTTGTTTATTTGAAATTAGTTTTGTTACTGGCAATAAATTGGCAAAAGAGAGCAAGAGAATAATGGTTTTATTTATAAATTTTTTATTACAACTAAAGTTAAAGTTCTAATGTGATTTTTCTTGTTTCAGGAAATAAATTGAAAGAACTGCCTGTTAGTATTTGTGACTTGCCATCACTAAGAACATTGGACATTTCCCATAACCAAATAAAAAGCCTTCCAAAGGGAATGTGGCATGTGCGTACATTGGAGAACTTAATAATTGATGCAGAAGAAATGATTTATCCTCCTGCGGGTGAGTTAGCTTGTGTATATATTTTACCATTATGTATAACAAAATTACCTGTAATAAGGTTAAACCTTTAACAAAATTTTAAGGAATTTGTCATATTAATAGCATAATAAAATTACTTTGTTTCTTTTGTCAGTATGTTTTGTGCTTGGAATGAAAAATTATGAGTTTATTTGAAAAATAAAGTTACATAGAAACTGTCATTATTAATTAAAATCAATAAGGGTTTCTTTTCAACTAAACTGTATATAGATACTAGAAGGAAAATAGACAAATTCATTTGTGGTCTAAGAATGAACTGTAAGTTCCTTACTTGTTGAAATAGCAATTTATAAAAGTTTATAATAGGGTTCACAGTTCTGACTTCCAGTAGGGAGAGGTTAATCTTGACTGAAATTTTATCTATTCTCCTCAATAGCATCATATGGAATAAAAAAAAAAATCAAATATGATGTGATAGTGATGAGTTCTTCTGCTTATACTATCCAGACATATTTGTCAGGAGTAGCTGATGTGGTCAAGTCTAAAAAATCTGACAAAATAGAAGACATTTGACAGTAACTGTTATATTGTTTACCTGAAGAAAACATTAAAGCACAACAGACAATTTGTATATCTCTATAAAAAGGACTTTATAGACATTGATAATCAGTATAGCATTGATCACAGAGTTTGAGAAATTTCATTTTTAGAGTCTACAAGCTAAAGTGACCTTACTGAGAGATGGTGGGAGTAAGAGAACCACATTGTTTCATTATGTATCCAAACCTTCTATTCAGCTAGTGACTTACCATGACAGCTTATGAATTATCAGTGTTCATTACTGTCATATCAATTCTTGATTGAGCTAACTGTTGATGTTTCAATACCCCAATCTAACAGACCAGAATATGGCACACATCCTTAATCTCTTAGGGTTATTTTTCTCCAGTGAAGCCATTTTTTAATGCTATATATCTTCAGGAAATTGTCAATCACGGCTCTCCACAGATTCCTTTTCTTTATTATCTGTGAATTGTCATGCATTCTTGGGGAAGATAGTGGAGTGATTTCTCATTGCCTTCTCTGCTGTTTAGTTTTCCTTCTCTTAGACTGGTTGCCACTGAAGTCTATAGAGTCAAGTCTACCCTACTATTTAACCCATAGTTGTGGGGATGGGAGAAGAGATGGATTCATACCTTTCCCAAGGACATTTGTGCAAAAGTGAATACAACAGAATAGCCTGGAATTTGAACTCAGCTTGCTGATTCCATTTTTTGTACCATTAGACTATTTGCTTTTTACCAGTGGTGAAAGTGACAGTTTCACCACACTGACAAGGATTCAAATGGTTTATCTAACTGGCTTATTCAGTTTTCTTATAACTTTGCTGTCATTGTCAAATAAGGTATGATACTATTTCTTATTTTGATATATAAAAATATCTGCATAGATCCAATTTGAATATGGTGGAAATTGTTTGTGTGATGCCACCAGTCAGTCCCGATCACAGCCTCAAATTGTGACCCACTCTAACCCTGGGCTGATTGCAGCACCATCTGTGACAATCTAACTCTTGGCTGGTTCGGATGGAAATCTGGTTTACCACGGAACCATGTGTGACACTAACCCCTCTGGTTGTTGCGGTCGATGTCTGGTTAGATTCGATATCAGCTTTGCCATTCCCAGCTCGCCTTCAACGTCTGGTTACCAAAGTAACTGCTTTGATCTCTAGTCTAACCTACCCACGTTGTGATTTGATCTTAGGTAGACGAAATCAATCAGGCGTCGGGCCGTACGTAGTGCAAGCTGAATCCAGGGCAAAGGTGATACCACACAAGTGTATGTAAAAGAAAAATAATGAAATAAACTCAAGAGGTTCAAATGTGTTGAAAAAAATAACAAGTATCTTTATATCTGTCTGCTGAATACAGGAGTGCGTCTTTCTCCCAACCCGCTTCTTTTATGGATTCGTGACACTTTTCATTTCTTAAGCGAGTCTTGATATCTTAAGTTGTTTTTCAATAAACTGCTTTTGGGCATCTTCAGGTAATTTCATTAAAACTTGCTTTGGTGGTGTAAGTCTAAAGTCGTTCTTCATAGAAAAAAAAAATTGCTTTTGGTTAGAAGTCTAAGTCGGAACACGTGGAAATCTTTCGGTCAGCTCCTGTGAGGCTGGTCTCTGAGCCTAACAGCTCTTTGTCGATCTGTCTTTGATCTCCAACCCAACTCTACTCTCTGAATACCCGAGGACGTTTGTTTATATGGATGCCGACCAAAACCAGGTCGGGGCCTGTAGTGGTTTGGGTTCTTCGATAATTCCAAATCCCCAATAAGGATTCGCTTTGTCTTCGGACAGGAAAATTTATCACTTCCCATATTTGGAAGTCAATTACTTTCTGTTTTAGAGGGGTTCTCCCCCTTCTGTGGGGAGAGGTCTGAGGGGAATTATCCTCCTAAACTCTTCCTTTCTCATATTGGTATCTCATACCAATCCCCTCAGTGGGCGTCAACAGGTTTCCCTTCTTTCTCATATGTTCACCTTCGCCCATCACTCAGCCAATGAACTCTTGGCAGCATGGGTGTGGCTAGACTGGCCTCAGTTTACAATTATCACCCGAAGAAAAAAAATTATCTTCCCTTTTCTTTCTTTCTTTTCTATCGGCCAGAATTCTTATGGATCACACATTGTGACTATTAAATTTTTATCTTATCCTCGGGTCACCTGGAATTCATTAGCGGAATTTTCGCCGACTCATTAACTATCGCTAGTCAACTATTTAACTGGGTGGTTGACTAAATCTCTTTGTCTTTCTCGTCTCAACATTATCGCATTTTCAGATACCCATTCTCGTCGACAGGAAGTTTGTCATTAACAGTTCGAACAGGTAGTAACAATGATATCCTCTTCTCGACCCTATCTCCTCATGTCAAGATCTGGACATACAACAGATGGGTCTCCTCGCTGGACACAAGAACCAAAACCAAATGATATCTCTGAAAGATAATCAGTGGCTATTCTTTTTTTTGGTTGGTCTCACTGAAATTCCTTCCCGGTTGCATGCTTGACACAGTTTTGTTATCTTTTAGAGTTCTGTTTTCCTTGTCGCGTCATGACATTAATTAATTCTGACAGAATCTGAAACCGCCTCTTTTACAAATTTTCTGTCTTCTGCGAAAAAAATATCTTTCTTCATAAATGAAAATAAAATCTTTACCCATTTTTCTTTTGTTAAAAAAAAAATAATGTCGCTCAGTATGTCTTTCATTATAGCTCTTTCTCGCCTTAAGTATTTCCCGTTTTTAATTTCCATGCTTAATTAGTTAGCCAATTACCATAGCTAAATAGTGTCACATTTGTGTACCCAAAAATTAAACTAAAATATATGCTTGAAGAATTGCTAATTGAAATGTGATGCATTTTCTCTTTATATATCACATAACTGTACAAATATGTAATTTGTTTGACTATTTTCCTCTATAATAATTTAATGAATACTTTCGATTAAAAAATATATTTAACTGCTTTTATTACCCACATTGTTTTGAAAGCAATCAACAAAATTTTGACACAAACATTTTGTGGAATTTTGTTTTATGACAGTTTACTTTATCTATCAATAGGATCTGGAGTCCTAAATAGGTTTATCACAATTGATAATCTGTATTCATTGGAAAGAGCTATACCTTAGCAAGTAAAATCATTATAGAATTTACCCATTAAAATAGATTATTATACCTTCTATGGTTATATATTTATGGAATTTACCACATCTTTATGTCACGGTCAAGAAAATCCTTTACTTGCTTTAGTACATTACTTCTATTAGAAAAAATCATTTTCAAACATCAGTATTTCAATAACCAAACATCAGAAAGTGGAACAGACCGATAACTTTTCAGCACCCCCTCATTCATATTTTGCTTATTTTCTAGAAATATGTACCAAAGGTACAGAAGCAGTCATGAAGTTTCTTTGTGAAGGTAAGTTATGAAAATGTGAGTATAAATCCATCTGATATATAAATTCACATTTGCTGTTGAAATTTAAGATCAGCTGATGTCTTTGAGATTTTCAATTATATTTATACTGTGAATAGTGTTGAGCCCTAGAAGTTAAATCCTCAAAAATAACATATTACATATTTTTTTAGCGTATTTATGGTATTTTGTGGGGGTACTGAATCTAAAGCCATTAGTTTTGTTGAATTGACTCTAGATTTTGAGATAATGAGTACATCTCAAATCATGATAATTATGATTTGGGAAGCAGCTTTCTTTTTACTCTGATCTTACATGTGCAGACATTGTACAAAATATACCATGTGATGAAAATAAACATTAATTGATCAACAAGAGTTGAATCAAGTTCTTTTCAAAACCATGTGTTTCTGGAGTCCTCTTTTTTGACTCTCTAGTCTATGAAATCCGCTCCAAATCATTAACAATAGAAGATGGAAAGGCTGCTTGTCTCCAAGGTAGTGAATGCAAGAAGTTATACTAGGAGCAAACCACCTCCATATGAACAGAAAATAAATTCAGTAAATATAGTATTGTGAAGTTGAGGTTAGCACCAATCAGCTGCTAAACTCGTATTACTACTTTCTTATTCTAAGTGACCACTTATATGAGTGTTCACTTGTGCTTATGCAAATTATGCATACTAATTTGCTGGTATCAGTACATATAAAAAATAGAAAAAGGTAGTTTTCTCACTAGACATTCAACATTTTAAGTGAAGTGATCGTAAGAGAACTAGAAGTCCTACCGGGATTTATTGCTAGTGATCACAATCTTTGCAATATAAGATATGTAGATGACAGTGTTGTTAGCCGACACAAAAAGGAAACTGCAGGAACTCCTAAAAAAGATAGTAAAGGAATTTGATTGAATGATTGATTCATTTTCTACAGTTTATCAAACCTTTGCAGGTTATTTAAAGCCAGAATATATTTTTAGATTCTAAGAATTTGGGGTGGTGGGGAGATAATAATGATTTAATGATACTAATTCTTAATCCATAGCTGGGAGGAGAAAAGAGGGATTCATATGTTTCCCAAGGGTATTTACGTGTAAGTGTGTAACAAACACAACTTTAATTGAAACTTGGCTTTTTAACAATTTCAAGCCATTATCCATTATTCCACCTGCACATCCAAGCTTACAGCACCTGGTATTCCCAACAAGTCGCCCATCTAGATACTGACCAGGCTTGACATTGCTCAACTTTGGTGATTTTACAGTGTTTCAATGTGGTATGGCCATAAGCCAGTAAAGGAAAGTGAGAAGAAAGGACTAAACATCAATTGTAAGAAGATAGAATGTATGGTTGTCAGGAAGAGGAATAGCCCAAGATGTGAACTAAGAATTAGTGATACCAAAATAAAGTACAAAAACTTAAATGTCTGGGAAGTGTTTTAACAGAGGACTGAAACATGATCTTGAAATCTGAATCTGACATGGGGAAAGCAGCAAATAACCTACCTAAGAAGCTTATGTAAATGGATGGCAGAACAGGATTTGGGAGGGATAGCATAAAGACAAACCTTACTAACACTTGCAAAGTATGGGAAGTTGTGGAAAACCATGATTACCCACATCTTGGAGGGGCATGGTGCATAGAAGATATACAGTTGAACAGGTTTCCAGAGAAAATTGGGGATTTCAGTGAGAAACAAGAGATTTCATCCCAATTAATGTGTGATGGGGAAAAGGTATAAATGCAGACGGGACAAACATATGATAGCAGAACTACTGATGAAGCTTACAATGTAATTGTCTTTACAACTAAAACAATGCACTATTTTTTTTTTTCATCTATTGTCATTAATTTTATCTAGGTACCTCCAATAATTTGCTAAAAATCAGTATAGCACTGTGATAAAAGGCCCCAAACTTTATCATCAAAATGTTTGTTATTATTAAGAACAAAGTATTTTTTTAATTATTTTTAAAACTTTTTTCCTTCTTTCTAACACATTCTAAATTTAGGTCAAAAAACTTTTCTTTCTTTCTTTTTTTTTTTTTTTTTTTTTTTTTGCCAACTTTGTACAACTTGTGGTAATGGCCATTTTATTGTAGCAGTTTCCCCTGGAAACTGCTACACTAAAGTGGCTACATTTTCTGCTACACTTTCCATTAATTGTAAAATTCTTACAAAAATCAAATTGTCTGATTTTAATGAAACTTTCAGGACTTATTAAAAAATGAATGAATTTATTTTTGAAATGTTTATTTTTAGACAGTTTTATTAAAAAAATTTTTTTTTTTTTTTACATCTGAAAGTTTCACAAAAAATGAGCATATATGATGAAAAAATACTCCAAACTTAATAAAAAAAACAAGTTTTATTGTCAAAACAAGATCAAAGGATTGATTATTAAATAACATTTTTAATCCTTTTTAGAACCTTCAAAATTTTTGTTAAAAATTTCTTTTCCTTGTGTCAGTAAACTAGTGTGGGAATTTTTTTATGTCTTTATGGAGAAAAAGAATTTTGGAATACTTGAAAAATTCTAATAATTGTCAGATTTTAATTAAACTTTCAGGACTTACTCACAAATCAATGGAATTATTTTAGAAACATAATTTTTTTTTTTTTTTTTTTTTTTAAATCTGTTACCTGTTTAATTTTATGAAATTTTAAGAAATTCATTTTTGTAAAGCTTAATGTTATAAGCACAAGTAAATTTAAAACCAAAGTACCTAAAATTCAATGAAATATTAGATTACTGGATAGTTAAAATAATTATATAAGAAGGGTGCTCACATTTTATTTGTCAAGTAATTTTTATAGATACCCCCCTCCAGAAAAAAATCCCCAAACATGTCTATTGAGATAGTTAACACCTCATTAAAAACATCCACCGCCGTGTTAAAAAATGCTTTTCTGTAATATTCTAAACTAAAAGTAATATTTGTTTCAAATCAAATTAATTAAATTTTAAATCAGCTAATCTTCCTGAAATAAAATTTCAGAAAAGTATATTTTATTTTTGAATAATTTTTTTAATTCTACTGACAAATTTGTAAAGATAGTAAAAATCAGCCATTTTTATCGATTTAAAAAAAAATTGTTTCAATCAATTTAAATTCATTTTGAAATACAACAATGTATCGTGCTTATTGGAAATATTAAATTTAATCTATTATCTTGAAATTAGATGTAAAATGAAAAGCTTCATGAAAGATTTTTCATTTTTAAAAATTCATTTTAAACTTTAGGTATTGCTTTTCTTTATAAGTACCTACTTAATATATAAGGCAGTGATAGTTAATCTGAAGGCTGGGCAAACTGAATTCTCAAATATTGAGGCATGTATTATCTAAAAAAAATAGAGCCAATCTAGCAAAATTTATGCCATATTGAGTAACTGGCAGCTGACAGTTTCTATGTTCTATGGCGAGGGATCTTCTACCCTGTCAGCTTCATCCTTTACCTTCTGGCAGTGATTGAGTTCACTGGGGATAAGGGCCCTCTTCAAAATCTCTTTATATTTCATCAGTGGGAGATCCATGTCTGTTGGCCAAAGACTAATTTTTAAATGGGTGGGTCTTATGGTGGTCCTCCATCTATACCATGTGGCCAGCCCATCACAATTGTCTTTTCTAGCATAGCATCAACACTTGTAGCCCTGATACTTATACAGATATGCATAATAAGGCTGTTTTTATTTCTATTGTCAGAGGCTGGAGAAGAATACCTGCCAGCTTCCCAGTTTGTCCTCCAGGTCCTTGAATCTTCAGATGCAAAATCAGTTCTCTCTTCTACATTCAGTGATAATTCACTTAAAATGTTAGCGGAAGATGCTAAGATTATGGTGAGTTTTTAAATTTTACAAATTTATAAGCTTATGATTTCAATAGTAAAATATGTACTTCAATTACTTCCTTTAAACTGTTTTTTATTGTAGTCATAATGTCAGTTTTCTTTTTTTTTGTTTTATTTCAGCCTTTTAAGTTTATTTAGTAGAATTTTCTTTACTAAATCTATAAATTTAAAGATCTAAAATTTGCAACAAAAGCCAGTTCTGATTTAGGTATTATCACTAATACACACACATACAGTTTGAGGATCATTTAAGGCATGAAATTGACAGTCACCATGCAGTGTTAATTTATGTCCACACCATTTACATCTACAAATGCTCTATCCCAGAATATTGAGGACTTTCCCCCCATAAATATAACAAATGTTGAACAATATAATTATTTATATACATTGTGACTCTTCCTAGGATTAGTGTCATGCTTCCTGCTCTGAAGGCTAAGATCAAAGTGTAGTATCTTTTCTTCACCTCTTTCCCATGTTTCTGTCTTCAAACAGTTCATAGAAAAGTTTTGAGGGGTGCCTAGTCCAAGGAATTCCAACTCTGTGGCAGTACCTCCCTCATTATACTAAAGTGAGAAGGTAGGTGGATACCAATGCTAATGTGACAGTGGTTGAGGAGACTGGGCAATTTTTGTCTTTGTTCCACCTCACATTAAAAATGACCATGTGTCACACCTCACCACTGTGGGAAGGTGAGTAAATACAAGATCAGAGTAGTATCTATACTAACTGTGAAAGGTGTTACGTGCGCACACACACACACACACACACACCTGTAAAAAGTTTTTTTTTTTTTCAGTGGCTTTGATAAAGTTCATTAGCAGATGAAACGTGTTGGCTAAAATAAGTTTACCTTTTGTCTTTATTCATATATATATATACACACACACACACACACACACACACACACACTAGGGTTATTCAAAAAGAATGAACCGAGTTCATGACATTGCTTCAGTTCTCAAGCATCATCATAGAATGAGTCGGTGATCATTTGAAAGAGGAGTTTTCTAAGTTTTGAATGACTGCCACTTGGGCACTGTACTCATGTCATATCTCCAGCAATGTTCAGTTGTTTGTTTACCTCTAAAATGGCGATTCCTCAGCAAAAGGCATTCTGCATTCTTGAAAACAAATACGGTTGTCACAGTGCAGCATGTTTTTCAAAGGCATTTCAACATTAATCCTCCCTCTCCCAAGAACAATCAATGGTGGTTTAAACAGTATCAAGAGAGTGGATGTGTGTGTAAAAGAAAAAGTCCAGGACGATCACAAGTTTTGGAAAAACAAGTGGTGAGAATCCCTGTTGTGCTTGAGGGGAGTCCAAAGAAGTCCACAAATTGAGCTAGCTGTGAGCTTGCAATTTCTTAATCCACTATCTGGCATGTGCTAAGAAGAGGTCTACATTTGAAAACTTACAGACTACGCCTCGTTCAGGCACTTACCAAGACTTTGCTTTTTGTGTTTGGCCTATGAGATCCCCAGACCTCACCAGGTGTGTGTGATCTTTTTTTTTTTTTTTTTTTCCCCCCCCCTTTATGGGGATATGTAAAAGACTGTGTTTATGTTCCACCGCTGCCCACTAACCTCAATGACCTTAAACATCAAATAACAACAACGATCAACTCTGTGAATCGTGATATTCTGATACGTGTCTGGGAGAAATTCTCTTATCACATTGATGTTGCCTGTGCTGCAGGTAGTGGCCACATTGAACAATTGGAAAACAGGAAATAAAAGTTGATTGTGAGTAGAATACTTGTGAATTGGCTGGAGTTTTCTATTGCTTCTCCTTATTAAAATATTGCATAATGAAATTGGTTCATTTTTTTTTTTTTAATAACCCTGTGTGTATATATATATATATATATATATATATATATATATATATATATATATATATATATATATATATATGTTTTAAATTATGGTATTTTATGGGTGAAAGTGCTCAGCATCAGATATATATATGTGTGTGTGTGTTTATATTAAACAAGACATTGAGGTTAACACTGAGTCAGGCCTGAGAATTGCATGAAACAGACTGTCGCCATTCGGTGTTGATATGTGTCCATATTTCTTATATTTACACACTCTATGCTGGATACTGAATATAAATATAGCATACTTTAAAACTATATATATATATATGAGAATGAGGAGAAATTGTCATACATAAATAAACCTGTTATTTTTTTACAGTCGTTTTTAAATAATATCTGTGATTATTTTTTTCTTACATACAATTCAGAATTTTAAATCTTTTCAGATGTTCTAATTGTATAAACAGCAAAACTACTGGAACGCTTGAGCTTAAACTGAGCATACGCTTGCTTTTTTGATCCATTTTATTTTAAAGTGTATCTGATAAGTTATCACTCTCATAACAATTGAAGTTATTTACTCGTCATTTTGACTTGATATAACTGTCATGTGCGTTACAGTTTGTGAACCAATGCTTTTTCACTCTAGTAGAACTGATATTTATATTGAAATGATTTCACAAATTTTAAGAGCTTCTACTGTTAAATATGTTGATTAATATATTATTGTTATTATATAATTAACCAATAAAATTGATTTTAAATTATCTGTTATCTTGTTGCTAAACAGACATTATAAAAATGAAGCCATAATTGAATAATGTTTTATTCCTTTTTCAATAAAAGGTTTCCAAGGAGTATACTTTTCATCCCACAGAACTATTTATATTTTAGATAGTTTGATTTTTTCAACAAAATTAAATTCCACTGGAGTAAAAGATAGGACTTGTTTTTCATAGCAATTGTATAAAAAGAAAAGATCAAATTTAAGTAGGAAAGAGGAGGCAATTTTTTTTTGGGGGGGGGGATATTATGTAGAATTATTTTAAAAGACCTTGTGATCTTTCATATCTAATATTTTGCATTTGCTAAGGGTATGTTTAAGCAAGAATTAAATGTGAATATCTGTTAGTATTATACTGATATATTTACAAAATACATTTTTAAATATTCTATGTAAGCAACAAAATACAGTGAACAACAAAAATCACAAAGACTTTGATCATTTTATAAAAACACTTTTAAAGTTGTAAAAGCTAATCAACAAAGAACCTATGTATGCATTTTTAACCTTCTGAAATATTCAGATGTATATTTGTCATCTTTCTTCTTTATTGTTTTTCTTTTAAATAAAAACCTGGGTTATGTCAAATACTTCTACTAATCTGTTAATAAATTATGAGGGAAGTTGGTATACACAAATTTATTCAAACTGTTGTCCTTATCTTGGTTGTTATGTTATTCCAGCATTGTCACATTATTTCTGGTACTTGAAGAAGGTTGGGGACTTACAATAAGTGAAACTTAATTCACAAAGATGAGGATAAAATAAATCGGTGTATAATAATAATTCATCTAATAAATTCAAAAACATTGAGTAAAGTAATTTGTTTCTTTTTCTTAATTTTTTTGTTTAAAATCCATATTTTTTAAAATTTATATATTTAACTATTTCAGCAAAACATTGAGAAATATACAGATTTACAGGTGAGTGGTAATTTTTACTCCTGTTTTGTTTAATAAGATTTCCTGTCATATTCACCACTTTTCTCTTTTGGTATATATTAAAGATATAGTTTATATTTTATTTATTTGGTGTTCATACTTTATTTCTTTCTATTTCTTCTTCAATGTTGATTAGTAGGACTTCTTAATGTTAAAGGCCAGTGTGAGATGAGGGGAATTGTGTGGTAAGGAAAAACTAAGATTATAATTGAAAATAGTAAAAAAACAAAAAAAAAACAAATTGTGGGTGTAATATTCTACAGATTTCTTAAAAGTAGAATTTACAGACTTCAAAGAATAAAAAATACAGATTCAAATCTTTCCTGAGGTAAATTCTTTATTTCTGATACATACTGCTTGTTTAATGGTCATAAAATAACAATTAGAGAGAAATAAAATAAAAAAATAAAAAAAATGAGAGTGGAATAAGATGAACAAAAAAATAATTTTTAAAAAATTGGTAGTAATGAATGGAATATTTAATTCAGATTTAGAATGATTATGCAAATCTCTGTGAAAATGTATTGACATTATTTATACAAGGACTGTTTAGTGTTACCATCACAAAACTGTAATTGCAAAAATGTATATTATGAAAGAGCTGAAACTCTGTGTCACACTTTCAGTGTGTGACTTTGTATGTATGTATGTAATGTATATGTGTATATCTGTGTTGTGCATAAGTGACTAACATCTGCTTGTGTATGCACACACAACTGAGTTTGAAATAAGACATTGGAATAATACATTCCCACTTCTCTCTCAGTCTAGACAGCTCCTACCTTGGGCAGAGCAATAAAATCATAATGTTCGATACAAGAAAAAAATAATTTTTTAAATCCTAAAAATATCAGATAATTATAAGATTTTAGTGAATTTTTTGAAAATGATTTGGTAGTAATTAGAATTTTTGTAGAAATATATTTTTAGGTCTGTCATTGAATTGAAATATGCAAACACACAAATGCACATACACACACAATTTGAATGAAATTGAAATGGACATCTGTATTGCATGGGCTAATTCCCCATTCTGCCTGGCAACAACTCCTGGAAAACAGGAAAAGAGTATAAGCAGATTTATCCTTCATAAATGGTCATTTGTATGTCAGACTTGGACCTGGGAAGACATCTTTCTGGATGTATTCACCACAACATACAGGATTAAGTCCTGGCATCATGGTGTATGGTACCATAAATTACAACTCTGTGCTCAGCTTTGATGTTTGTGGAGGGAATGTTTAACAGTGCCACATACATTCATTGTTCAACTTTTTCTGCTGCCATTTCTGCAAAAGAAAGGCAATGTTTTAATAAAATAATGCCTACCCACATGAAGCCCATCCTACTCAACATGCTCCATAACATGTTATATATATATATATATATATATATAAGTGCTTTTAAAAGAAAGTGTCAAAAAAGTAAACTTGATGATTTCACTCAACCAGATGACCTATGTGTAGAATAAGTAAAGAGGTAGTGTAGCTGTGTTGGTTATTTGACATGGATAGCATTTAACACTGTTGGACTGTGGAATGATTGTTAGCACTAGAAAGGTGTTGCATTGTATCACTGAGATAGCAACTGGTTTATGTTTTTCTTGGGTATTCTATTAATAAAAGGGTTACAAGAGTATAGCAGGAATATGTGAATTCTGGATAGATATTGGTGGCACATGAAAACTACATGAAGCTACAAGTGTTACAAAACAAAACCACCCAACAAAAATATTGGAATATTGCACCAAATCATATCCAACAATTGTGCTGCCCAAACTGTTCATAGTTGTTAACCAACAAGAGTACCATTATTGACATTATTAGCATCATTCACTACACCCACATTTCCAGCTTTTTTAAGCAGACAATAGAGTTCATACATGGCGGAGACTATGGATTATCCTAGTCAGCAGACTATTTTGCAAATTGGTGTGAAGTGTTTAAATTTTGTTGAAGTTCACAAGAAGCACAAGTGAGACTGTAGTCTATTTTGACAAAGCTTGGTCTACTCTCTTATTTAATCAGTACCTGGGAAGAGAAGAGACTACCTTCCCCAAAGGCACAAGCGCAAAGTGAACATCAACTGTCTCAACTGAAATTTGAACTTAGTTTGTCACTTCCATTTTTATTAACCTTTCAACTGTTAGTTGACTTATACCTCCATTAATTGCATATGCTGAATATTTACAATGAGAAAATTTTAGATCCAAATTCAGTTTATGACTGTTTCAGACTATGGACATTGATCTGCTCTCTGATATGTAGGTTTATTTTTATGTAAAGTCAACAAAAATTGGTTTGTAATTATTGTTCAGGTATGACTACTAAGAACCAATAACATTTTCAGAGTTTTTTTAGAACATTTGAAAATTTATTCTTCAGGCAAAGAAGCGTCAAGAAAGAATGCTTTTCAGTCAACAGTATGAAGAGGATGAAAAGGAACATGCAAAGTTAGCTGCCACTGCTCATCGAGAAAAGGATCACTTGGTGTCTGTGATAGCTTATGTGAGTCTGTGTTTTATTAGTTTAATACAAAAATTGTCCATGCTTGGCTCATTATTGTTTTTGTAATCAGTCAACAATAGAATGTCATTTACAACACTGAAAAAAACCTGAAGCTTGCAAAATGAATTTCACATTAATTTATGAAAATGAACATCAGTTTTAATTTAAATACTCATCCTTTTCTTGCTAAACACAGAAAAAATCATTTTGGGGCAAGATAATCACTGAAAATGCAAAATGGATTTATTACAAGAATCCCAAATTAAGGAAATTGTGACTTTATCCTGGACAGCCTTAATATTGAATCCTTAATAGAATCTTTTGTGGGGGGAAAATGTTATTTCTTTGGTGGGTTTCAAAGAGACCTTTTTATTAGGAATTGCAGGAACATGAACAAATATTACAATAAGCAATTGTCGTGTTTGAATTATGCATTGGAAAAGAAAAGTCCATTTTCTAGGTAACAAAGTTGACCGGTGATTTTTTTTTTTTTTTTTTTTGTCATGTCATAAATGCCTGTCTTCATGTTGCAAATGTGATGCAGCAAATTATCATAAAGCTGGACTAAGAGATTCTTTCACATGCAACATGTTCTCTAAACCTGTCATTTTCAGACTATCTTTTGTTTTGTACCATGCAACACACTTTGTCTGGTTAGTGGTACAAATTGTTAAAAATAAACATCTGACACTTAGAGGTGTTGATCTTCAATATTCTAAAATTATCATAGCTAGCTGCATTTATAAACTAAAACTTTTTTTATTATTCCTTTCACTATAAAACATCACATTTATTGTGAAATCTTTTGCACAACAATCACCTAAAGGTTATATTCTTACTTGGAAAAACTAACTAAACCCATATTTACAATTTCCTGAGGTGAATAGGTAACTGAATAATTCATATACTAAAAGTTAACATTTTCCCAAATGATTTTAATGGATGCAAATATATTTGCAAGCATATTTACAAAACTGTCATTGTGACCCCATGAAAATTTTAATATGGCAGAAAAATAAGTTGAAAAAGAAATCTCAAAACCATATATAAAAGAAAAAAGAAATTTCTATTTAAGATGCTTATCAGGTTCATTGAGTTAAAACTGTGTTCAATATATTGTGAATATTATTCAATATATTTTGATAAGTAATATATACTATTAATAAAAGGGTATTGGATATTTCAGGATCAAATGAAACTGAATCAAGAACTACAAGAATTAACAAGCAAAAAGGAACTTGACCGTCAAAATCTTGTGCTTAGCTTGAAAGAGAGTAAGTATTGTCTTTTTTTTCCTGATAGAGCAATTGAGAATCTTTAGCATTGGATGTGGGCTCTCAGACATTATGACAAAAAGTTGTATTAATATATCCAACACTAACCTAGTTTAAAATTCCTGGATTGTAAAATAATTTGGTTATACATGACGAACATTTAAAATAAAAGGTTTGAAATTATCAGCTTATAAAAAATATATAAAAAGCATTTCTCTTAATACTTCACACTTCTTGCCTATGGAACTCTCTTTCAGCTTCTTGCTTTCCTGTTAATTAGAATCTGCAAAGATTTAAATGCAATGTCAATCATCATATTCTATGTCTTGGAATCCCATTCTTTTTAATTTTCCTTTCTCCTCAGCAACATTTTCTTAGTTTTCTTCACTCTATTGTCTTTTTTTTTCAGTAAACCCTTGCATCTTAGTAGATTTATTACCTTGCTTGGGATGAAATGATTAAAAAAGAAAGAATACAAAGTATTTTGAGGAGAGTACCATAAAAATTTAAATAGTTTTGTTCAAGCAATATTTCAGTTGCAGTTTAGATTACTTAAAATGGATTTTCTTCAAGCTCTATGAAGTGAATTTAGTATAATGCTAAAAATATCTTGTGATGTGTAAATAATTTACTTCTTGAAACTTAGAAAAATATTAAAAACACTGACAGCATTTATTTTTTAATGTTATCAAAAGCCATTATGTATTTAAACTGACCCTAATTTTAGAGATTTTAAAGTAGAAACTGATATCAACCATATTACTAGTATTTGTCAACCCAGAATATATTTATAATATGATTTATTAAAACAATGGCTTCTTTCATCTTATCACATTTTATTGTGCTACACTATTAGTAACACATTTTGGTTCAATTAGTCAGATTTTAATTCCAACTTTTATGTTTACGATGATTTTTTTATGATTGATATCCAGTTTTCAAGAAATTTTATATCCAAGCATTTCAATATTTGCTTCTTTAACTTTTAAATTCTAAACTATAAAGACCAAATATTTTGATGTCTGGATTTCTCCTCTTGTGCTTTATTGATTCCATATATTTTAAACATTTGAATTTTTCAAAGTTTTGAGAAAATTGTCAAGAGTTTAGTGTGCACCTATTGGTTCCTCGATTATTATGAATAAGTACAAATTGAGTTTACCAAATATGTGAAACCATTTTGAATATCTTGAGAACTGGTTGTGAAGCCTTGATATAGCCTGCCTGGCAATCACACAGAGAGGAACTTGCTGCACATATGTAAATAGATTGGTTTGGTTTATTTAATGCCAAAATTTAATTTTCTTGGGAGCTTTTTCAAAAATGTATTGCTGGTAATTTTTTTTTTTTTTTTTTTTTTTATTACGAAAATTTATTACTGATATTCTTACTACGAAAAAGTCTTTATACTTTCATAATGTTTCAACACCAATTTGGGGGTTCACTATTTACCCATAGCTGGAACCCTAAGAGTGGACCTGGGAACAACAGCAATTAAGAGGTGGTCCCATGTTCCTCAAAACCTTCTAATCAGATGCCTTGCTGCTAGATGTATTTTATTGTGATACCCAGGATGAGTGAGAAGATACTCTTTCATTGAGGGTGTTTCTGTACTATGTGACCATTGCATTAGAGGGATTAAATCAGTGAATTTTCATGCAGAAATATTTGGGGAAACATAATATTGCTCAGGTCTACCCACTGTAGTCCAGATTTTGCTTTGGCAAACATCTGGCTATTGCTGTTGAAAGGGAGATTTCAGACTTTTGAAAAGATTAAGGATAATGTGACTAGGTGCTGAGAGTAATTTGATAACTGTTTTGAAAAATGGAAGGAATGCTGTGATATCTGTAAGTTCCCAAAAGGAGTAATACTTTGAAGAGTACTAAGTTTGCCATTTTCCTAATAAGGTTATTTTTTTCTAATATTAAACAGTACGTCCTTGAATTCTTTTTTAATGTTGTTTTTTATTCATTTATTTATTTTTTAAAGTTGAAGATGGCGCTTCCAAGTTGCTTGATAATTTGATTGAAATGAATGTTAAGGCACAAAAACAGGAGGAACTGATGGAAGCCATTGAGAGGGAACGGTCAGTATGAATCTTTGAATCTCCAACAGAAAACTTAGGAATGAAAATTACATTACAATTACATCTTCTTGTAACTTTGCTGGTTCAATATCATAAAGAATGTTAAAAAATGTGATTGAGTCATATATTCTTTTTTATTAAGAAATTAATCAAATTTGAAATACCATTGATTCTATCTAGATGATAAATAAAATGGGATGATATACCCAGCAAGAAGACGAGATAATTTTTTTCACCAGACATTTTTTGAAAAAATAACAATATCTATTGTATCCAAACACCTTTTAATAAGTCTTATATGTGTATACCATTTTGAGATAATTAGACAATAATTTCAGTATAATTAATTGCTAGATTTTAACATTTTTTAAGGAAATTTGGATGTCGTGTAGATAAAATTTGAAAATGATCTTGAAACATAAATGAAAAACAAAACCTAAGTTTTATCTTTTGTTTATTTTTAAACAGAACTTCAACTCAAAAGTTTAATTCTGTTTCTTTATTTACAGCTGACAGTTTTTTTTTTTTTTTTTTTTTTTTTTTTTTTTTTTGTTCCAACTCTTCCTGGTCCTCTAGTCATTTCCAGACTTAATTTGACAAACTGCAGATATACACGAATACACATATCAGGCATTTCTTAAAATAAATACAGACATAGACAGGAACAGAAATTTTTTTCAGAGATAGATCATCAAGTCTAGTTGCAATATAAATCACAGGTTGACTCTGTGGGTGTTGAAGAAAGACAAATGGCTTTGAACAGATAGGCATGCTCAGAAACTAGCAGCCATGCCGAAGATAAGAAATCCTTGATATGCAATGTGCCTTCAAGTTGAAACAGTTCTAATGATGATGAGGTTGCTGCTTTTTTTATACAAATAAAATATAAATTGAGAATATTGAGCACTTATTTATAGAAGATAAGATGAAAAGATGTTTCCACATGGATTTCAAAAATAAAAACGTGCTTAAAATTGAAGTTTTCAAAAGATGTATTTTAATTTTTAACTGAATTTAAGCACAGTACTAGATTAACAACAATTCACAGTTGAATTTGGTAGATGTAACCATAAGTTCGATGCTAACATTTTTTTTTCTCGCATGTGAAACACTCTTCTGGATCCATGCTTTCCAGTCAAGTTTGATCTTCAAAAATTTAAATGCAATTTCACTTATTATTTACTGACTTCCTGATTACTCTTCTATTGTTCTTGCTTCTTAATAATGTTTCTTTTTTCTAATTCTTTCACATCCAGTAACTCCTTGTGTCTTAGTGGCTTTACTGTCTTGAATGGGAGGCAATTCGATTAACAAAAAAAAAAAATGACAATATATATTAAAAATTATAATTTTGTATTATTTCGGGAGATGGTGAAGTCACTTTTGAATAACAAGGCTATTTTCTGATATTTGCTTTATTTTGTACCTTTACTTGATATGCATTGACTTTGTAACTTTCCTAGTCATATTTTACAATAAATAAATATAGATTTTCTTGCTTTCCACAGAAATGAACAAGATCAGTATTATGTAGTGAAATATGAAGAGATTGCTAATCTTCGACGCAAGGAAGTTTTAGGTAAGTGTTTATTTCATGTAACTGGTTGTAAGAGTCCCTGCCATGAAAACAATGTTTGTGTGGTACAAGGCAGACTTACTGCTTCCATGATTCTGATTTTACAAAAAATTTTTAAACTATTTTTCAATGATATTATTAATTAGTTTGTTAGCATAAATTATACATAGTATTTTAAATTTGTGGTAACTTTTCTTGACTTTGTTTCAAAAATTCATAAAATTAAAGATTTGTAAATTCGGAGCACACAAATATTTAAAAGAAACAGACAAGAAAATGTTTTTAATGTTGGAAATGGTAGAAAAATTAATTTATATAATATTAATTTTATTAGAATATAATTTGATTTAAATTTGGATGAGAATCTGATACAATGGTAAATATACAAAACAGTTTGAAAAACTCTTATTTTGATAGCAAAACAGGTCAAAATAAGAGTTTTGTTTAACATATTTACTGTGATGGTTATATACATGATATTATACTAGGAAATTTATTGTGTCAAGTCCTCATATTCTCAAACAAACATTACAACCACTTTAAAGAAAAAGAAACACAACAATTTGTACTATTTAAATATTTCAGTTCTTGGCTAGCTTCTTTACGTAGTAGTAATTTCTTTTGTACTTACTGAACCCATTCCTCTTGATACTATTGACCAGGCTTGCTATGTGGAAACAGCATTGCTTTGTGCAACTTTAGTAACATAGTGGAAAAATAAAAGGATGGGTTTTTGAATTTGGCACTTATATAGCCAGGATCATATGACTATTACAGGGGCAAAAATTGGTCCTTTCTTTAGCCATCCAGAGCCCCCCGTTTTATTCTGTCTATTATTTTTTGATTGACTATTCTAAATTCCAATAAAACCGTTAGAATATAAATATTTTTGTTATTAATGGCAGTGTGTGATGTATTGATAACTATTTTCTATAATTTTTTGCTTCCATAAAAGTTTTTTTATTTTTGTATTTAAAAGATTTTAAAGTAATTATCAATGTAATAAATCATTTTATAAAGGTATATAAAAATTTAATCTGAAAAAAATTTACACACACACATACATATATATAACTTTAAATCTTTTTTTTTCTATTTATATTCTCAGTTACCACATTTTTTGCAAAATATATAATTAATAGCTGATTTTTAATTATCAAATAGTGAGAAATTAGTGTAAAAAAAAAAAAACACTTTCAGCTCTCACTTTTTAATGTTCAAAATAACTTCTCCAGTTTTATTTATGTTCAGATCTTTTTTTTATTACATAAAAGCCAAATTATTATTTAGTTTATAAAATTTCTTAGGCAAAAATGAGAGCTTCACTCAGTCTTTATGTAAATTATCTTTTGTAAATCTCATGACCTGATTTGTCTAGAATTTTTTCAATTAAAAATTGCAATTCTGAAACATTTTTGTTTGGTTTAAATAAGAAATTATTGTTTTTAAATTTGACAAGCAAAAGTAAACTAATGATTTATTAGTGGTAATAATTTTATGATCATGTTTTTTTTTATTATTATTTAGATTTTAATATTTCAGCTTCTCATAAGCCACAAACTTTGAAGAATGCAGCAATTCACTTTTTTCTTTTTTTTTAAGATCGTATGGAAGAAATTCTCAATAGTTCAGCTTATTTAGAGCATTGCCGACTTAAACATGATGCTGAAAAGAAATATGCTGCCAAACATGCACTTCAGAAGTAAGTATTTCCTACAATTGTGGGGCAAAAATTCAATAATAGGACTTCTCAATGAGGAATAGACTTCAAATAAAATAATAGAAAAAAAGATAGTCAATATTACTCAATTTTTTAAAACGATTTTTCATAATTTTGAATATCAGAAACTAAATTATATAATTTTTTTATTTATGATGTTTTAATGCTTACAAACATGTCATAAAAAAAAACTTCAATTTCTATTGACTTATGAGTGATGTCTGAAAAATCTTTGATGGTAAAGTTTATATTGTTAAATGAGAGATTTGAAAAACTTAGCCTTTGACTAGTAATTAATGTTTCAAATTATTTACTTTGGAGGTCAAGTGATTATATTAAACAAGATATGCAGTTTTGCAATGTTGAATGTAAGTTTAAATTTCAGTAGAGATTTGATAGCATATAACAGGCTTGCACAAAATATGTCCTGCAGGCCACATGCTGCCTACAAAACTACATGAAGGGTTATCAAAATAGTAAATTTTTTGGTGATCATCAGAATAAATTTGATTACTGATCATATATAAAAAATTCAGTTTTGTGAGAGTTCGGATTTTTTTAGTCAATATTTTTGATTAAGACATACCTTCTTTAGGGTACATAAGTGCATCTGTGTCTTTTCTTTTTCACTCAGTAATTTACTCTAAAAATTTACTCTTGAGGCCTGCAGATGATTTGTTACCTCTGTTAGGCTAAGCACAAGTATTAGTAATCTATGGTATCTGAGTGGAACTTCACCAAGCACATACTTCAACTTTGCTTTCCATATAAAACTCAGGAGATATTTTTAGCTATATTTTGTGAAAAAAAAAAAGTAGTGGTCTAACCTGTAATGAAATAGTGTTACTTTTTTCACCATCTCAATAACAATGAATTTATTGTCTTGATATATCAAATACTTTATGTATCAATATATTTTGACTTCGTCTTACAATTTTGCCCAACAATTTAAACATTATTTTAAAGTGTGAATGTTTTTAATATGGAGAAAATTAAGATACATTATAATCTTATAAATAATTACTATTAGTACAAAACTAATCTGCAAATTTGTTAAGTAAATATTAAAAAGTTCATCTATCATAATTTCATAGAGAAACAGCAATGGTTTATAAATGTTTTCCATTGAATGAATTTGTATTCTTTTGGGGAGAGAAATTTCTTTCTAATATGATTTATCATCAATAATTTTTCTTTCCTCACCGATTTGTGACACACAACTAAAGAGCAGTTTTCATGGATTGAACTTTAAATTTCATATTTTCTACTTTTATACTCAATCAATTGAATATCTGGCAATATTATTTGTATGTTTTTTCATTGTATATCTTTATTGATTGCAGAGAACTTAACACAAGTTCTGAGGTGGATACCTTTATTAAGTTAAAGACAGCAGAACAGAATGAAATGGTAGGCATCCTTACGCAACAGGTAAGTTACCTATTTTCTCTTTTGGTCTTTAATAACAAAAGAAATAAACAATAAAACAAAAATTAACAAAGGGACAGTACTCTGCATTCAAGAGTGTTTTTTATAAATTATCTCAAATTTATTGTGCTTAGAAATTTCTGGTTCATAATTCTTGTTGTTTAATAGGTATTCATCTGCTATATTTGATGGCATATAATATTCCCAATACATTTAATATTGCAGTATTATAGAGTTAGATTAGGCACAATTACTGACTGAACCATAGCCTACCAGATACCTCAACTTCATATATCAACCTCCCAACATTTACATTTAAATATTACAGTATTATAGAGTTTGGCTAGACACAATTACTGGTAGTCTATGGTGTCTGGCTGAAAATTAGCTTAGCAGATACCTCAACTTCATATATAAAATCTTTTCATTTTTGTTTTTGCTATCAAATATAATATCTTTACTGGTAGATACTCACTAATTGTGAACTACTATATTTACCAGATGATTGGTACTCACATGCTTCTATTTTCTAGAATGGCTCACAGATTAAGGATATTGTCAACATAAATTATAGCAAAATAATTTTAATTTCAGTTTTGTTTTTAGCAGAGTTCATACAGGTCCTGTAAAATTGACCTGGCCTTTTCCAGGGCTTGAAAAGTTTAAGCATTTCACCCCAAGTAAGGTAGGAGTGGCACTAGCACACAAGGGGTTACAGAGAGGGAGAGAAAGAGAAAAGAGTTGTATTTGAGGAAAGGATAAAGAGAAGGACTGGGAACTAGATTCAAGGCATTAGAAGATGTCAATTGACATTACATTTGAATATTTGAAGATTATAACTATCAGGGAAGCAAGTAAGAGGAAGTGCAAGATAAGAAGCTGTTGGAGTAGAAGAGACAGCTACATTTGTCTCTACAGTGAAAGGGTGGGCCCAAGATACCAACTTAATAGCACACTTAAATTCATGCAGTTTGGGAACCAGCAAAAGTAGCTCCTCAGAGCAGTTTGCATAAAAATACTTGTAGAAAAAATAGAGGGAAGCAAGAGCATGTCTGAGAAAGTGACTGTAGACGAGATGCCAGATCAGGACTCCTCACATTACATATCCATCCCTGGATTTTGTCGAAAACCTTGATGAACAGGGGGTGCTCCAGACCATATATGGCAGCAGTATTTCATGCAAGGATGAATGGTTGATTTATAGATTTGAAGGATGGATTCAGGCAAGAAAAACTTTCTGGTGTGACACAGAGAACCAACTTTCCTTGTGGAAGATGAAGCTATTGATTCAATGTAGTTGTTCCACCTCAGGTCAGCAGACAGTGTAAGACCAAGCAGGTACTCTCATGGAGTTGGGTGCCAGCCATTCTGATGTGAGGCATGGAGGTTTCTCAGATTTACTATTGAGGCAGGAGTAAATAGTAGTGTCGTCTGCATAGATGTCTACCTGGGAACTGATGACATCAAGATCATTAATGAAGATCAGAAACAGTGATAGAGCCTTGGGGAACACCAGCATTCGTGAGAAAGGAACCGGAGGAGAACCTTCATGATTTGACAGGAATGATTGTATTAAGTCAAATAATTGTCCTGTAATGCTGTATCCCTGAAGCTTATGAAGAAGGCCAGCATGCCAAACCCTTTCAAACACCTTAGAGATATCTAGAGCCACGGCTCGAGCTTCACCGTTATTTTGAAGTGCTTGGTATACAAATTCAGTTATGGCACATCAGCAGTAGATTGGGCAAAGTGGAAACTATATTGCTTGTCAGAGAGCAGATCATGGAATGTAAGGTGCTTAAGCACATTAGTGTTGATTAAAACCTCAAAGACTTTACAAAAGAGTGTTAGGAGACTGATAGGATGGTAGTTAGATGGGGTCAGAAGGGTCTCCAGATTTCTTAAAGACAGAGACAACAGAGGAGGACTTCCATCAAGCCAGAAAGCAAGAGGACAAGTATCCTGTCCCCACCACTAGTCTTATGGGAGTCTAATTTAGAAACAATGTCCAATATCATCGATGGGGTTATGTGCATCTCACTCAGTAGAGCCTCAGTTCTAGGGGGAAATCAGGTATAGGTACACAGGATGAGTCAAGCGTTGAATTGGATAAGAATTTCCAAGCAAAGCATACAGCTTTATCAGCTGAGGAAGTCAGGACCTCAAATTGATTGAATAAAGGAGATATTATGGATTTGCTATTGTTCAGCACGCTCTTGCAGAGACACCAATAATCTTTAGAACCAAACTTGTGAGATGCAATACATTGTTTCATTCTTTCAGCAAATAGTAACTTTGCTTCATTGAGGACACGCTTGCATTCATTACAGGCATGTCTGTTGTAATCAGACATGTCGCTATGGTACAGATGGAAGAAGTGATTCCTATGGGCAATAGCAACTGAGCAAGAAGCTGAGAACCAAGGAGATGAGCATGATTTAACTTTATATTTTGTTGAGGGGATGAAAACTTCAATTCCAGCTTTTACCCAGGAGGAGACCTCAGAAGCACATTTTTGAATGGGGAGATTAAAAACCACATTCCAGGGGACATCATGAAAGAAATCATGGAACGAGTTCCAGTCTGCTTGTTGATAACAGAAAGATGTTCTGTTGTTAGGAGGTTCATTGCTGGGGGAGGAGTGGAAGATGTTAACAGACACTATGACATGGTCAGAGTTGCCAAGAGGGCAGAATTGTGTGGCATGACAAGACTCAGGGATAGAGGTTAAACAGGGATGAAGGGAAGCTTTACCATCCTGGCTACTGGGAAATGAATGGGAAAGTCAACCACTTGTGTGAGGGATTGAGTAATTGAAAAGTTAAGGGGTTTGTATGCCAGCAAGGTCAGTTATAGTGTGTTTAAGCCACTTGTTATGGTGGGTGTTAAAGTCACCGAACATAAAAATATGTGCAAATGGATGTAGAGAGATAGCCTTGTCTATATTATCAGAAATGCTATCAAGTACACCAGTCTTAAGAGGATGGAGAGTGATAGAGAAAGAAGAGATAACGGCATTGAGGAGGGATAGACGGAGACGCATGTATAAATGGTCTGGAGATTCAAGTGAGAGTTCCCTAGCCAGTGAGAGATGGTCCTGGACGTAAACTCCTAGGCCATGTATGTGGGTTTTACAGTCTTTTTTAAGGAGAGGAAGGTAACCAGGGGATCAAGAAGTCAGTGGAGGTGTTAAGGTTGGTCTCACAGAGAGCTAGTATATCGAGAGACTTCTCAACTTGGAATTATTCCACACTGCAGAAGTTGATTCAAATGCCACAGATATTGGAAAAGGAAATGTTAAAAGTTTAGGTGAGTTTTTTTTAGAGCTGGTTTAGGTTTACTTTTTTGATTGTTAATGGTTATGTTGGTAATGAAAAGGCTTGAGGTAATAGAAGCTGACAGTCGTATATGACATGGACAGAAAGGAGCTAACACAGCCTGCAACCTAATGTGGCCTTAGGAAGATGCACACAGAGGATACTCTTCCATGCCCAACATGGCACTACAAGCACCCTGATATTATGCAACTTTTGATCAGAGCAGCCACTTTAGACACTACACAAGAGTTAGGGCTCCTAACTACCAGTTGAAAACAGCAACCAGAGAACTGTCAACCCGGTACCCTCAGTATGAAGAGATGTTGCCACAGACTGCACGTATCACAAGGGATTCACAACAATACTACTGGAAAAACATCAATAGCTTCTTGCAAAGTCCTATAACCTTCTAAATTGGGCTACCTACATATCCTTTTTCTCAATTCATGAAAATTAAAAATTCTAAATCCCAGAAATCTGGTGTTTTTACTAGCTAAAATTGTCCTTTAAGAAAAATGTTTCGGTGATATTTAGCAACTATTGCAAATGGTGGTATGTTTCCTTGATTAGAACGAGTTCATGACCTCGTAGTTACTTCTGTATTTTCTCATCTAGATGATGAGAAAGAAAGGGAGAAAGAATATAAAGGCGTGTCTTCTCCTATCTGCGACCCTCACTCAACAAGAAAAGGGGAAAAAGCAAAGACCTCCATCAAAGATAAATTAATTCACACTCAGTGAATTTGTAGTTGAAAGGAAAATAAATTATTTCTCAGTAATAAAATACAATTTAGTAGAATCTCAAAAATTATCAGGATTTTTTAAAAATTTGAACAATTGAAGAAATTTTATTCACATGTCAATTTCAAAAGTAAAAAGTCTTTTTGATCTCTAGTCAGCAGTGGGTGAGCTGAAAAAAATAGATACTTTAAATGTCCCATATCAATGTGTATCTATGCAAACTATATTTATCTAAATTGTTGCTAAAAGTAACAAGTTTGATTCTCAAACTTGAGTCAAAGAAAATGTAGACTGGAAGGATGATAGAAAATGTGCCTTTGATGTGTCTTAGGATAGAAAATGCATCTTTGAAAAAATATGAATGTTATTTTTAAAGTTTGTTTGCTAATAATGACTTGTATCGCTAGCTTTTGTTGTGTGAAAAAATGATGAAAATATATTAAAACTTATTTAGCTCTTATTGCTTAGCATTATATTAAAAGTTCAAACTGGCAACCCAGTCCCTTTACTTTTGTCTTTCTGCTGAGTGCTTTGAAAGACATTGATTGAACAGTTTGATAAAATATGAGAATGATAAACTGTTGTTTCCTTTCCTTGCAGATGATCTTTTAGCATGATTATGAAATTTTTAAGATTTCTAAAGGAAGAGCACACTAAAAAGATAATTACATTTTCCAAACTGAATGAATTTGTAAGAATTTTGTCAAACCCAAACATGCATAAAGATTCTGCAAAGATTGAGTATGGATTTCTGGCAGATAAAGTTATGCAAAATTTATCCAAAAAAAGGAAATGTCAACAAAAAATCTGTTTGCATGCAGAATTGCAACAAACACAATGTTCATTACCATCATTGAGAAACTTCTGGCAAAGTCTCTCCTCAGATACCCTCTTGTAAGTTCACTTACATGGCTAAACCCTGGATCCATTTGTGAAAAAAAATTGCTACAGAAGACAGTTTAAAAAAATGTCTTTTCCACATGATGGACAGAAAACAAGTCTGATTGTGATGACATCATCAGTCAGTACAAAGAGTTTGAGGAGAATATTGCTGGAAATTTTGCTTTCAAGAATTTAAGAAAGCATGAAGACTGTCTGGGCATTTTGTTCTACTCTTCTTTGTCTAGCAACAAAGAATATCAAAAGGATGTGTGGAAAGTTGTTCAGATTGTTGGTACTCTGTCATGGACAGGCTTCAGTGAGGAGACATTTCATAGTCAATACGGAAAGTTCCACTGACAATATGAAACAACAGACTCTGGTTGCACAGTACAAACAATTTGGCCACAGTTGGAGGTACTGGGAACATTCCCATGACTAAGATTTTTTCTGCAGTGCTTCCAATGCCAGAATAGCATACAACCAATACCTTAAGGTTGAGAAGAAATAAAGGCTTGAAGAAGCAGCTGGACAAAAAAGGAAATCCATGCTTATGGAAATTGAAGAACTGAAGACCAAAAAACACAAGCTTGAAAGTTGCACACAAGATTTTCTCAAGTCAGCTGACAGCTATGTGGAGAATGCTGAGCAGACTCAAATCTTCACACTTCACAAAGTCTAATGCCATGCAAAGATCTGCAAAGGGCAAATCTATAGAGATATCAAAATTAAAAGAGGAGCTGAATGCTAAACTAGATGAATTGAAAACATGTTAACATCATTGTGCTCTGTGCCATGTATAACGAAAGCCATGAACTGTTGTGTGATAGCTAAAATGTGTAGACTTTTTGTGAAAATTTCTATTTGTAGTTCTACTCATTAAAACCATTGTATTTAACTTCACAGGAAATGTGCAGCAGTCAAGAATTTAAGTGACATTCACAAACCATGAGTAGTCTAGATAGCTGAAATGTGTAGCAGCAAGAATTAAAGTAATTCAAAATTTTCAAGTAGTAGAACTCCAAATTGTGTAGAATGATACACAAAATGTGTAACATAACCAGGTTTGCATTCAGTTGTGTTTTAGCCCTCAACACTTGGATTTCTTCACTGCTTTCAACTGATCCATATGACATGAATTATTGGAACCAACTGTAGCTTTTCTTTGAACATCTCATCTGCCAAAGTATTAAAAGATAAATCACAAAGTTTGTGCTTTTAAAATTGATGTCCATTCACTTTGTGTGTGTGTGTGTGCTTGTACATACTAGTTTCAATCCCTGAAACTTCTTAACATAGTCTTAAAGTCCTGGAATTTTTTTTATACAGATCTGTGGGAACCATGTTTTATGTCTTGAATGCTTATAAACTCTCTTAACCTTTTAGATTCTCAGAATTACACTTTATGAAATTTTGACCTTTGAACTTATTTTTCTTTACAGGAAGAACTTCAGAAAGCAGCATTTGAAGCCTTGCTAATGCAGAAAGATTCTCGACATAGTCGAGTAACTAACCAAATCAACCTCATTGAAAAAGAGTTAGCTCAGTTGACAGTTGTGGAGATGGAAAGGAAAGAACTGAAGGTTGAAATGGAGATGGTAATTTGCAAACAATTTATTCTCTATTATGATCTTTCCATGTCAATTGCCAGCTTACAAAAGTTGTTTATCATTTCATCTTCCTTTTCATAAACTTTTGATATTTAGTCATTATGCTTTTTGGTAAGTTTTTCTATTTCTTTACATATAACAAAATTGTTGAATAAATTGTCACCAATTGATTCACACTCCTTAAATTGGCTTATCAGATTAAGGATTTGTTAAACCCTTTAATGAAGTAAAACCAATTATATTTGTCAGAATTTTCCAAGTGTTTGTGTATTATGTCCAAAATTCTCATGTAAAAACTTATTTTAGTGTAAAAATAAGATGCTGGACATAAATTTCCACATCCCTTATGTGTATCTTGGAGTAATGAAAACATTCATCAATACTGTGTATTTGGCAGGAAGTTTCTTTTGTCTTTTGATCTATAAAATTCATCAACTACATGAGAATTTAATACACCTCTGGGAACATTTTCAATTTTTTCATTTATTGGAGTTTGTCACCATTGAAAGACTAGTATTTGTTTTGTTTCTTTCCCTGTTCATTTCCAATGTATTGCTATTGAAATGCTAATGATTTGTAATGGTTGAAGAAAGTGAAAATGACTTGAGCAATTTGTCAGGGAATCAAGTTTCATGCTGGACCTCAGATGACTGAGTCAGATTGTGATTCACTAAGGGAGGAGGAGGAGGAGAAGTCATATTTTGAAGGCCACTTAATTTTCAAAGCTTGACAGTGGTGTAAACTTAATTATAATCTTGCTTTTCCATGTTTACTTTTTTTTAGTAAAATTTACCAAACTGTGAGTTGGAAGGTTGTATCACATTCTCAATTATGATTTTTTTTTTTTTTTTTTTTTTTTTTTGTATTGGAAATTCACCACTGAATCATAGACATCTCAGAATTGTCTGTTGGGTGTTGTTTTCTGCATGATTTTTCATTATTAAATTCACAAAAAGGCAAAAATATTTTCCTACATGAGTGTAATATTATATATCTGAAATAGCAAAAAATAATTTTGGAACAATTTTGAATCTCTTAAGGATTAAATTATAAAACAATTATTTGGAAACACTTTTATAATAATTTCAAACCAGACGAATGAAAGGAATGACAGAAGAAAAGATGTTTGTTTATTTCGTGGAACGAAAACATTTTAAATTGAATAGATGAGATATTTTTTATTCTGATTCTTTTAAACCAATTTTCTTTCACTTCTGTTAACTGAAATAATTTCTTTTATTAATATTTTCAGAATTTAGTTGCTGAAAAGCGTATTGCCCTGACTGAAATGTTGGTTCAGTTAATAGCAGAAAGAGACAAACGGGAAGACCAACTGAAAAAAAGACTTGTAAGTACAAAAACTTTCCTTTTTTTTTTTTTTTTTTTTTTTTTCATTCATTTTTGCTTCTGTTTGGCTTTAAAGCTTGCCTATTTGCTTTATTATGTGTTGTTTATGAGGTTCTGTGAAAAAGATCAAATCTCAAAGTGTAAGAATAATAAAAATCCCACTAAGAAATGGAACAGATTTGTTTAGTTGCATTTATACTAATGTTTTTCATAAAAAAACAAAGATACCAAATGCCTTTATGATAGTACAAAAGAAAGATCATCATATCAAATATTTGCTAGTTTAAGCCTTGCTAATATGACTTTGTTTATAATAAAGTTAAGTGTAGTAAATACATATGGCAACAATATAAAAAATGTTCAGTCAGTCAGTCTTCACCCATAAGTAATGATGATGTAAGAATTTATTTTACTAAAAGATTTTAGATGACATTTGGTTTTGATCTTTCACTGGAACTCTAGTGACTTATGCACTTTGTGTGTGTTTGTTTTTGTTTTAGACACTAAGACATTTATAAGTATTTCATTTTTGCTCCAAGAAAACGTTTCTAATTTTTATTGTTTTCAGGCAGCAGAACAGCAAGAATAAACCAAAATGGAATCACTCATTTATCTGCTAACAATTTGTTTCATATGGAATCTAATTAAGATTCATTAGTTAGGTACCATTAAAAAATGTGAAGGGGAATAATTTATGAAGTTGTGTATGATCAAAGAACAAACTTTAAATTATATACACACACACACACACACACCATACCAAAACAAGTTTGTTCAAAGGAAAGGTGGCTTTTCATGAGAAAGATGTTAATTTTACCAATCCTTAATCATGAGTTTTTCATTTCTTCCAAAACATGATTTTAAAATTTTATCTTGATTATGTACAAAAGTAGATTCACTAAAGATTCTATAGTCTACATAGCAACTTTTATTCCTACAGTTGAATGTTTGTTTCTTACTGCTTGCTCTCAAATGGATCTTATATTAACCAAAAAATTAATTTGTGTGTGTTATACATTTATTCAACAAAAGTTTTTTATGAATTTTTATTGATTCTTTTTCCTTCAACCTGGACAATTTTTCTAAGTTCCAGGCAAAATTTCAATATAAATTATCCAATATTTTCTGAGAGCTTTTGACATTCAGAAGCCATTATTAAAGAATTTATGGATAAATAAGAATGCATCTTGAGATATACTTTGTGTTTCTTTGTACTTTTCATATATTGCATTATCATACATCAATTAGATGAACCTTGTTTTTTCAAATATTATCTCTTCATGCATCAGCTTAAGTGTATTTTCTTTTTTTTTTTAGTTGCTAAATATGTTGAATGATATTTTTATTGATACTGGGTTTATTTTTCATGCTTACAGTTTCTAACATCTATTGCCTTTTTTGACAATTTATATGGTATATTTTTGTATTATATAAGTATTTATCAGGTCATTTGTTTTGTTGTTCTGGTTGGTAGTATGTGATTTTTATGGAGTTATTATTAGAAGGCAAATTAATCAATGAGATAATGGTGGGGTGTGTAACCAATGTATCAGTTTGAATTATTATTAGAGGGATGTTCTCCATGTAGGCCTATTGATAAAACAAACAAAAAAACACCAAACTGATATGTGATTGTGATTTTCCCAAAAGCTACTAAGAAACATAGTATATACCACCTAGATGTATTCTTATTAATCTACAAAAAATTCTTTGATAATGGCTTTTGAAAACTGAAGACACTTACAGGATATTGCTAATCTCTGTTCACATACAGATTGAAGTTTAGAAAAATTGTCAGAATTAAAGAAAAAAACTCATAAACAAAGACCTTTTTGTTGGTCTTTAATCAATCTACTTGTATGAATAGTAAATTTCTACCCAAATATTTTATTTTTCACTCTTTTATTATGGGGGGTGTTTGATAAATATCAACAGCACATAACACAAAAATAAAACTGAAGACTTGTTTCTCAGCTCTTATCATCGGAGTGGGGTGGGGCTCCATACTTTTAAGCAGAAATGAAGTTTGATTAAAGACTTAATGTAGGAAGATAATTTTTTTTACAAAATTCAGTTAAGAGAAATTAATAAGTTTAAATCTTAACTGCAGATGTTTTGTTTAATCAATATTGGTGTTGATGTCATCAGCATTCTCATTTTATGGATTTGTCAATGATCTTTTCTAGTCATTAAGTTCATGGTATTTCTTTGAAAGGGACATTATGAATAAAAAAATAGTTTATAGGTTACACTTTGTCTTGTAGGTCCCATTCCTACTGTAATGAGTTTGATCCTCACTGGGTGCCCCCACACTTGTAGTATTATTCGTAACTTTGCTTAAATTAGTAAATGTCTATTTGATGAAATGCATATATAAAATTGTTAATTGAAGTAAGTTATTTTAAACAGAAAGCTGAGATGTTGCTAGGAAATTGCTTAAGAGTTAATCAGTTGGATTTGAAACTTTTAAAGCCTGTTGTTTAATACCAAGTGCCAGTTGAAGTAATCACATTAACTATGAATGTACTGGGATCCAAGTAAAGGGGAAAAAATGTAACATTGTGATTATATGTAGGTTTAGAATTATATTGCAAAAATGTCCAGTTTTACATTGGGTTGATGAAAACCTGATTAGTTAGCTTATTGGCAGAAAGAACCAAGTCACAAAGGTTATCCATGTGAAACATTCATTAAGGTAGTAATAAATATAAATAGAACTTGTATTTAAAAACTTTCTTACCGTATTGTTTATCAATGAAGATTTCAAATCAAAGACTATACGGCAAAAAGCTGACTGACTGAAGTTCAGTATATTCACACTTGATAAAAAAAGAAAATGATATATTTGGCCCAATGATTGCTTTTCTTGTCGCCACAGGTTGAGATGGAAGAACAGCGCTTACAAGACCAAACAGATTATTGGCTTGTCCAATACCAACGACTTATGGATAGAAAACCACAAGCTCTTGTGGATCAAGTGCGTATCTTTCGCCTTCATTTGCTGCAATTTTTTTGTTTGCAATTGCATAGAATTAATCATACATGTACAATTTGCACTGTGTATGTGTATCTGTATATATTTCTCTATAGATTTCTTTTTGCACCAATTTTTCTTTTGATTAGCATCAAAATAAGTTGATTTTAATCACATCTGGTTTTCATTTGATTACTTTTAACATTGGAATTTTATTTTTTTCTCCTAAAACTTATCACATTTTAGATTCTTACAAAACCGTTATAGCAAATAATATAAAGTGACTGAAAGTTTCTTTATTCCCAAATTTTTCTTGTGAATAGTTTGCCATTCTGAAACAAAAAAAAATACAAATTTTTATATCTACTTTTTATTTGAAATGATTATTTAAAAGTTTGAAGTAAAATTATTCAGGATGAAAAAAATTAACTCTAACAATTTTTGAAATGCAGTAATCTAAAACTAAATACCATTTAGTTTCAAATTAATGATCAGTAATTTAAATTCAGTTGTTATTCATTTTTGCTTTAAAGTTTGGAACGTATTTGCTTATAATTTTGTAAAATTGATTTTTTAATAATTTGAAATTTTTTTCAGTAATGCAATAAACAATCTACAACTTTTTTTTTTCATTTTACCCCAAGCAAGGCTATGAATCCACAAAGTTACTGATTGTTACAGAATATGAGAAAAATACTATTAAGGAAAGAGAACAATAAAAGAACAGGAATTAAAAAAAATTAAGAAATTTTTGAAGATCAAAGTTAACTGGGAAACAGGAAGCCAGAAGAGAGTTCTATAAACAAGGAGTGTGAAAGAAGAAACTATTAGCATAGAACTTATTATTATATCTATCCATTTCAACTGTAAAATGATGAAACCTTGCTGCTAATCTAGTACTGTGCTTAAATCCATAAAGTCTAGGTTCCATAGAGGAAAGTTCATCAGCACAATTACCATGAAAGTATTTATAGAAAAGGCACAAAGACCAAAAAAACTAAAAACTACCAAGAAAATGTATTGAAAATTTCCCTTTTTTTTATTTTATTTTTTCATTTAACAATCTAAAAGTGATGTCTGAAATAAATATAGCAGTTTTATTTAAAAGCAATTGATAATACAAACATTGATAGTGAGATTGTATGATCAATCAAACCTAGTTTAATCTTGATTTTCATGCAGCAATAGAATCTTGGAATTATTATGTCTATCTTCTTTGATGATTTTATTAAAAAATATATCAGAAAATTTATTTGAAAATTCAACAAGAAAACTATCTCCTCATCTCTGGAACACAATTTAAATTTTCAGGGAGAAAATCCTTACCATTTTAATTGTCAGTAAACAAGAATAAATTTTAAATGTTACAAATACTAAAATAAGCACTTAAGACTACCCATAGCAGTTCCACATAAATCCTAATAAAGTTGAATAGACATTTAAAGCTATTTTGACTGATATAATCAAATTGCATATGAAGAGAAGTTAATGTTTAATGAAATAATTATTTATTAGGGATTAATTTATGTTTATATTAATTCTCTTTAAGAGTTGAATTCAATCAAATTTTGTGTAAGAAAAAATTATTTTGATGCAAAATGTTCCCAGTGCCAGCTTTTGCAATGTTAGGGAAATCTTAGAAGTGTTTCTGAAGTTCATTATTACCTGTGTGTGAATATACTCTTTAATAATTTGTAGCAGAAAAAAGGATTCTATTTGAATTTATAGAAACAAAGTTTGTTCAAGATTTAAGCACTGGTTCTTCAAACAAAGTGACAAGATAGTGATGAAGAAAATAATTAGATATAGGACAGCCTTCAACATCTCAAATGGTAGGGTCTATGTTTGGTGGGATTAGTATTCACTCTGATAATTTATATAATGCTAAGATTTTTTTCAAGGGGAATAACTCTAGTTATCTCGTTAAATGCTAACTCTAAAATAATACATCATAGCAAGATATGTTGCAACACTGTTAAAACTAGGTAACTCCACATACTTGCTGAAAAAACAGTGAAGTATGGGGGGGGGAAAGGCCCTAAACTTAATAAAAACAAAGTTTTATTGTCAAAATGTTATTAAGAGGAAAGACCAAAGTATTTTTTATTATTTTAAATTTTTTAATCTTTTCTAGCACATTTGAAATTGTTTAAAAAAACCTCAATTTTTATTTTTGTTTTAGCAGTCAACGTAATATTTACAATTAGTGTTTTAGCGTTTTTTTTGTTTTTTTTTTCAGGTGAAAAACACATTGATTTGGAAATTCATGCAAAAATCAAATAATTATTAAATTTTAATGAAACTTTCAGGACCTATTCACAACTAAATGAAATTATTTTGAAAAAAAATTTTTTGTTTTTTTTAGAAAATCTTGGTGAAAATGTTTTGTTTTTTTTTTGTTTTTTTTTACATATGTTACTCCCACTTACTTAATATCAAAATTTGTTTTATTAGTTGTAAGCAGGACTCCTTGAAGAATTTAAATCATCAGATCTTTTGTTTTTGTAAAACAGGACACCCAGTTACCAAAAATTTGCTCTGAATCATAAAATAAAAAATGCAATAAAGCTACATTATTTAATTAGAAAGGTTTTTAATTGCTTTTATAAATAAGATTCATTAAGGACATTATTGTCTTAAGAAAAATAATTTTTTCAATGAATAATGACTTTTTACAAGAATTGTTTTCATTTTTTAAAGTTTTAATTATACTAATTTATAATATTATAAATCATTTAAAATTTGGCATTGCTTCAATCCGGTTAGGTGAAAACTATATTTACAAATCAAAAACTGAAAAACTCAATAAGTCATTTATAACCAATATTTTTTTTTTTTTTTTTTATGTGTATAAAATATTATGTAACATGCCCCTGTTTGAAAGTATGGTTAATCATATACAACATAATCAGAAAATAAAAGCAATGACTATGGTAAATTTAAATTCCATATTCCTAAAATTAGATTACAGAGAATATTTTCCAACATTTTTAAAATTACTGAGTACTTAAAAATTATATAAAAAAAGGTGCCTATGCTTCATTTTCTTAAATTATGTTTTAACAAATGAAGTCTCCATAGAACAATAGTAAAGGTATTGACAGATTTTATCATCACTTAATAAGTGATCTACTTGATTAAGTGATGGTGATAAGTGCATAATCACTGCTACATTTCTGTTATTTGAAACTTAAATATTTTTTTCAAATCAGATTAATTATACTTTAAATCAGCTAATATTCCTCAAATAAAATTTCATAAAAGCATATTTTATTTTTGGAAGATTTTTAAAACCGAGAATTAACTTTTGTTTTCAAATGTGTAAACAATGGCCGATTTTGTGAAAATGAGCAAATAGTTGATTTTCCTATCAATTCAATTTGAAATACACCAGAGTATTTTGCTTACTGGAAATATTAAATTTAATCATTTAGCTTACAATTAAAACTAAAATGAAATCAAGAATTCTTTTTCATTTTTAAAAATTAATTTTAATCTTTAAGTATTGAAAATTCAGTGAAAGTGCCTCGTTAAAACGTTGACTATAGCATTTCCAGTCTAATTTGCAACTTAGTGTGAAGGTCCGAATTCATGCTAACCTCAGATGATCCAAGGGGGATAATTCATTCTATATTAAATGCTATTTATTGAATAGCTTCCCTTATTTGCAAATAGATATAAATTTTTACAAAGTGATTAGGCATTAACTTAATAGCTATCAGTAGCAGACTTTAAGAAAGTTCACATTTAAAACATGCGTTTTTTATTTTATTTACTTTGCACAGGAATATTTACTTGAAATTCCTGTTCTGAAGATTTTAGAACAGGCTGAAGCGAGAGATTATGTTCCATTATTTGCTCGGCATCGGATTTCTCTGGAAGTTTTGTGTAATATGACAGAAGCTGATTTGAGACAGGTAAGTTATTTTCATTTGCTCTCCCTGAATCATGTAAAATGCTCTTAACTCGTAATGCTCACTTCTATGCTGTCATGTGTAACAGATTTTAATTATCTAATCTTTCTATCTTTTAGCAATATTTGTTTCCAAATATAATCTCAATTCAGTTTGAGAATTGATGCTTACATGTGCAATTAAATTAAAGGACATTTGCACAGTCTCATTCAATTTTAAATAGAAAGAAACTAATCTTTACATCATTTTCAACTGAACAGGAACGTTGACTGTTTTGTCTTAGGTAAATGGAAATTAGCTTCAGCAACAATATTTTTTTCTGTTGACTCTTTATTTTCTAATCTGAGTCATTAATTGCTGTAAGCCTTATTGGTTAGATTACAAACTTATGAACAGGCATCCAAATTTTATGTATGTCTCTCAAGTATATTCTTTTAAAATAATGAACTTAGAATACTTACATTTTATAAGTCGTTATATTTGATAGAAAAGAACAACTTTTCTTTTATATCCATGATAAACCCACTTACACATCAAAGAAAATCACTAATTTTAACTAAAATAATTTTTCATATTCCTTACTCGTAGTTTCTGGTATGAGGAGTTATCATTATATACACTCATCTTTGTTGTTATTACCACGTTTCGGGCGTTCTGCCTTGCTGCCTTCATCAAGGTAACCTTCAAGGAATTTCAAACTAAACCTTTTATTTAATCTATGGAGGTAGATTTTTTCAGTACAGAATTTTTGTTAATATTTTGTTTCTTTTTGTTTTATATTTGACAACCTCATAAAAATCAAGACTGTTGTTTTGAATAAGACATTTAAGTCAAACTAAAAAAAAAAAAAAAAACGCAATCATTTTTTTTTCCCTTCTACAGATGGGCGTTCATGAAATAGGCCTGTGTAAAGCAATCAAATTGCGCCTGGACAAGTACATGTCAAAGAAGGTTGTGCTTGAGGAAGAAGAACCAGTGAGTGTCTTTTGTATTTGCTCTCCTAATCCAATTAGCTTTTGTTCTATCTTCCCTGATTTGACAACAAAATTACAAAGCATTACTGGCATTGAAATTATTAATGTTTCATTGAGGAAACTTGCAGAAATTAAAAAAATGTATCTATGAACAAAAAAAAAAAAATATCTTATACACAACAATTAATCAAATGAATTAGTCATACATAGAAATAAATTAAACCACAACTTTGATCTAAAGAATGCCACACTTGGAATATCAACGAAAATGAGATATTGATGAATAAACTACTATGGAAAGGGTTAAATGAATATAGACTGATAACAATTGATAAGAATCGAGGTTTACAAAATGAATCAGGTGACTGACTGAGAGCAATGCTTGGTTTGTATAATGGGCCAAGTGTTGACAGTATTTGACAAACAATGCCTGTGAAATCAACATGAGGGGAATTGGAGTAAATGCTAGTTACAAATAAAATCTTTTTGCAAAGATGTCAGGGTTAAAAACAATAAGCTGAACACCTGCAGATATGTTGATCTTCGGCTGAACGAATTGTCACCATAATGTGAGTTACAAAATTTTCTCTGGGAAAGTATCTTTGGGTCGATGGCGAAAAAGGCAATTGTTGTGTCAATTCACTTATGAGGTGATAGCAGAAGAGCGATCGAGGAAGGAGGAGAAGCTACCTACACCCACTGAAGGGTAGCAGGCACAGAAGGGACATTAAGGAGGTTGAAGGACCTGTTGATGCCCACTGGAGAGCACTGGTGGGAGATGGTAATAAGAGAAAGTAGAAGTAACCAGGCGAAGTGATGCCTGCATCCATCTCCCATGACAGAAGGGGAATTCCCCAAAATTATGAAGTAATTTAATTTATAAGTACCAAAAACAATGGAAATGACAGGTGGATGAAATACCAATACACCCCCGCTCATCTTCTCCGCTACACCAGTTCTGTCTCGGGCAGACAACAATGGAAATCAAGGGATTCACCAAAACCCAACCTACATCTTGCCTGACACTGGTTTGTAGTTGGAGTCTATAAATACAAATGCACAAAAGCAAATTGAGACAGTGAACAGTTGAGAGCTGAGAAGAGACAGAAGGGAAGTGGTGGAGGTTGCTGAGAGATTCCACAACTCCTGCCAAACATGAGAACCTCTGACTTCAGCCTTGAGCCAAACTTACCAAATCAGAAAAACAAATTTCACTGCCAGCCAAAACTTACCAGCTTACCCAAGTGTTGACAAACACCTGTATGCTAACACAACCACTAATAAACCATTGTATGCAGTAATCAATATAAAAATAGTAAATATTTTCATATATATTTTGAGTGCTGTTTTTTTCTCCAATTTTACTGTACAACCAGCCAACATGAAGATACCTGTGACAAATCAATCTTGGCATCCTTATAATCAATCAATCAATCACAACGTGGGGTAGGGCAGGTCAAGATCAAAGAGATCACTCCATTGATCAAACCAGGATCCATCCCGGGCTGACCATGATGAACATGTTACATACTGAACTTTTTGAACTCAGTTCTTCACTTCCTCAATCTGAGCTGCTATCCATTACTCCACCATACCACCAGTAACATAGGACTTCTAAAAATGAACCTTCTGTACAAACAATGTTGGTTATAAACTCTCATGCCTTTGAGAGATTGCATCTTCAAATAATTAAAAACAATATTAAATTTTTAAATTTGTCACACAACCATTTCACTCTCTCAGGTTAATTTCCCACTTATCAAAACTGAGTGCAATTTGTATGCACATTGATCATCACATCACATGAAACTACAATATGACTATTAAAATAAGACAAATATTAGTAGATAATACTCAATACTATATGGCACTCACTGCATATTCAAAATACTTGAAGCTATTTTTATACAAAAGAAACACCCCCACATGAAACACTTTCACCATTGAAAACTGCTTTTTAAAAGATGCTTAAAAAATTGAATGATTTAATATTTTGATCTTTTAGTTCAAAATATTAAATCAAGTTTTGTTACTCCTAATAAACTAATTTAAAAATGAACAAATTAAAATGTACATCCTTTATATATGAAGCATTCTACACCTGACATCATTTATATTTGATATACAGGGTGCAAGTGCTATTTGAGGACATTTTTAGTATGTTAAATAAACAGCAATATTTTTAGCAAACAATGTATATATTTAATTCAAATTGACACAAATATCCTTTATGATACTTCTTTATCTAATTATTCTATGAAACCACCTTTGGCTTCAATGACTGCTTCTATTCGGGCTCGAAACCGTCCACAAGCTGCAATTAAGTGGTCCCTATTCATTTTGGACATCACCTGGACAATGGCGGCCTTCGGTGCAGCTGTAGTACTATGAGGATGTCGATTAGTCTCCCTATCAACGACGCTCCACACGTAATAGTCCATATTAAAATCTGGCGAGTTCCAGGGCCACATGTTGGGTGTCACATGATCATAAAAATTCTCTGATAACCAATCCTAGGTTACAATGGCTTTGTGAGAAGGTGCAGTCTGTTGAAAGACATATGGCCCTCCATTGCATACTTTATTTATCCAGGACTTAACAACCGTTTTAAGAACATTAATGTATTCAGCAGCATTGACCCAAAGACCTTGTGGGAAAATGTAAGGTGACATGACCTTCACTGCTCACAACTCCTAAAATCATCACAGTAGCTGGATATTTGGTGTATTTCAGAAGGAGATGCACATAGCCACCTGTCAGTCTATCTGTTTGTTTTCTGATCTTGGTCAAAGTTTTTTTGTCAGAGAAAAACCAAAGCATGCCATGTTCGTGGGGATTTTTCACTTTGTTCAACAACCGTTTTGAATGCATGAGACGGTTTTCCTGTCTTCACCGATATGAATTGGCCTTTCCTCATTACATATGACTTATATCGAATGTCCTGATGTACCACAGTTCTGATAGTCCACTCTGATACCTGGAGTTCTTTGGCGATGGACCTCATTGATGATGTTTTGAACATTCCGTATAAATTCTGGTGTTCTCATGGTATCAGAGCACTGTGAATGCTTTTTTTCTTTTTGCTACAGGGGAAACATTGCCATCACATCCCTCTAGCTCCAACTGAACCTTATGTACAAATGATCTGGCAACATGTAAAAAGTTACTGATTTTTAAATCACTATGTTTTGCAGCTAAAGCAACAATGACTGCATGTCTTTTCATTTCTTGGGTTAACATCTTTCTCTGACTGGGCTATCTGAAATAAAAAATATTATTATAAATGATTTGAGTGTGTAGTGAACTTAAAAACAATATTTCCTCAAATAGCACTCACACCCTGTACATAAATTAGAATTATGTCATTTGTAAAAACTTTCCTCTATAACATGATAATGTCTAGCAATGGTTAAAAATACTTGAACAAAAACCTCATCTTTGGACAGTCTTTTATAGATTTGATTATACACAAACTGGAGAGTGTAATAATAAGCTCGACAAGCCTTGTCAATCAAATCCAATAAAATATTTCATTTATGAGGAGTGGAGAGAGAATCCATGATATACCAGTGATGAGTTAACCTGTTAATTTTGCAAATCATTGAGTTTCTCTCATTTTATCTTCATAAATATGTTGTTTTGCTCAACAAATCTGTTTATATGGAAGGCATTTCAAAAACAAAGCAAGTTTTCAGATGATGTTATACTGAAAGAATCAGTAATAACTTTTTAAAAACTCAGATTGTGGTTACAATTCATTGTCAAAGGCATACACCCAATAGTATTTGAAGATTATTACACATATATCAAAATAATATTTGTCATGCATAGAGTCGGTGAAGCACTTGATAACAATTGATCACAAGAGGAATCACCTTAAATATCTCAAAGGCTTTTCACATAGGGGGCTGCTAAATAAACTCTCAGAGCTGTGGCATCTCTGGAAGAGTTTTCTCAATTATAAAATCCTTCCTATCAATGAAAGTTATTGTTGATGTCCAGTCCACTGAAGTGATATTTAGCCAAGTCAATACAGGTGTCCCCCCCCCCACAAGGCTCTCTCCTCAGTTATACCCTCTTTTGGCTTTATATAAACAATCTGCCTAAAACAATTCTTAGATCTTTATTAAGTATATCAGCAGATGATACCACAGTGCATTGATGCATCTTTAAAACTCTAGATGACCAGTTAATCTCTCTGACTATGCTCACAGCTCAATGAGAGAGGAACTGGCTTGTAATCTCCAATACCAACAAAACCAAGCTAGTAGCCTTACATTATCAGAAAGCGGAGCCTGAGTTTTCTTCAGTCATAGTTAACGGTTGTATTCTCAATGATGCTCCTTGCTTAGAATGTCTATTGGGACTGGGGCTCATTCTAAACCTCAAATGGAACTCATACAATCCATTGCTAAAGATGCTCGAGAAATGGTCAGTTCTCCAGAAAAATCCTGACAGGAGGCAGGGTCCATCTAAATAAGATCAAAAATGGAGAACTGTTACTAAATATGACCTGAAGCTGCTTTCTAAACTTTAGAGTCCACAAGCATTTATGCAGCCTTGTGGGTGATGAATTATTTTCCACCTTACAACCCCGCCCGGTCGGTGGGGCATCAGAATACGCCGACTGCCCCCCTGCAGAGGGTAAAAGTCCCTCAATGGGGCCACCTGTTGGCCGTGGGTGGCGACCCGTAATGTCTGGGGACGGGATCCTGGTGGTTGAGCAGGTTGTAACCCAGGTGTAAAGCGGTCACAATCTTGTAACACACCACTTTGGCCCTTACCTGGGCTAGACGGGCGGTCGGAGGGGCCCGATCCGATCAATCGGCTGGTCATGTCAAGCCCCATCATATATAATCCAACCCAAACCTATAACTGACACTCCTCTTCCCAACCAAAACTAACACTTAACCCTAAATATGTGATGGAAGGCGGTGGCTGAGGGTCAATCAATTTGGGGAAAAAAGTATCTGACACACTTGCTAAACCTTCACAGCCGTA